GCAGTCGAGAGAAAAACGTCTTTGTAAAAACTGTCTTTCTATAATTATGTATTTTCGTGTTAATTTAATATATTTTTATTATTCTATGTGTCAATAATTTATCTTCATTGAATTCATCATTGATTGGGAATAAATCGTTCGCATCACTTACGACTAGCGGATTGGTGTTGTGGCCCCTTCATCTTGTTTCTCATATACTTAGATATCTGTTGTTCAATAAAATAACTTCTGGTATATAAAATACGTATATTTACAATTGGCTAGACTTATTATATTGGACATAAAAGCTATCCGATCGCACAGTATCTATTATTATTGCAATGAAAATCCGAGTCATAACGGACCAAATATCCAAAGAGAATGTAATCACTACGTTTTAATACGCAAATATCCATTCCTTTGACATCTGCCAAGACTCACGTCAAGTGACAACCGCCGTGAAGAAGAAAACGCGGCGACCCACAGATTATCAATTTCGGACGCCTCGACATGTCTTCAAACTCTTTCTTTGCTGTTATTAATTTCTGTGGGGCCAAACGGCGAGGACGACAAGAAATTGGTGGACCATCTATGAATTTAATATCATGCACGGTATCGTGCTTTATTACCTTCGGGAGACCAGGTGGATCCCCGTTGGTGGTACCCCTGTTATTTCGAGGAATTCGGTGACCACGGCACGCCCGAGTGCACGCAACTGAAAGATTGTGCAGATCCACCGGACTGCGTAAACTGCCACGCTACCGGCCACTCGGCGAGTTACAGAGGCTGCGCTAAGGCCCCGAAAACTCCCGCGAAATCAACATTGCCCAAACCCGCGCCTGTGTAATACGTTCCCGCGCCCGTGCCCGTCGTCAACGCCTGGGCGAAACCCCAGGTGACCGCGCAGGTAGTCGCGCCCCCGGTCGCCTCACGACCAACGCTAGCCCAATCGCAGCCCGCCATTGAACAGGCTCCGAGGCCGCAGGTGCAGTCAACAACATCGGTATTCACCGAAAACAAAGACGACCCATTCGCCCAAATCGCGAACTTCTGCGGCTTATTGGTCCGCATTAATAGAAAAGAGCTCGCCGTATTGTCCGCTAAATAAGCGGCCGCCACATCTGGCACCGAGCGGTTCAAAGCCATTAGCGAACATAAAATGCTTGTAAAATGACGATTCGTTGGCACGAGTTCCGAGCTACTCCCAAGCGCTCGCGCCAAATCTCCAACCCCCGTGTACGCTCCTGCACCCACACCTCTCCCGCATCCAGGGGCTCGGCATTATCCTGGGGTAGCCGGAGGCGAGTATAAACTCGCGCATCCATCTCCGGTACTAGTCTCAGCCTACCTCTCACTGGTAAACAAAACCTTATTACAAAGCGACCTAGATACGCTACTCAACTTAGGCCCTTCCGTGATAATTGCAGGAGATCTAAATTGCAAACACGGCTCATGGGACATCCACAGCATCCCAAATAACAACGGAAAGCATCTCTTTAGCTTATCCGATGATTTAAACTTTATCATAATCGCACCTGCGACTCCCACTAGGTATCCCACGGTGGACAACTACCAACACGCGACACCGAGTATCCTAGATATCATGTTATTCAAGGAGGTCTCGCTCGACATCGAGTCGATAGAGACAATCCATGAATTAGATTCAGATCACAGGCCGGTCCTATGTAAACTGGACCAGAATGCCAGCGCGGTCCCTCCGACCAAATCAGGGCAAACTCATACCAGGTCAAACTAAGGGCCTTGGACCCCCAGGACAAAGTCAACCTACCCGAGACGATAGCTACGTTCCATGACGCAAATCGAGCGATAGCAAGTCTCCGAGAATCTATTACTTCCGCAGTCGCAGACTCGAAACGGACGGTGAAACTGTCGGGCGACCGACGGTTTAACATTCCGCCCGACCTGCGACTGCTAATTAGACAGAAAAATGCAGCCTAACGCGCTTTCGACCGATACCGATACCGATCCGAATCGAACCGAACCCTACTTCGACGCCTTCAGCTAGAAGTCAAAGATCGTGTATCGGAACACCGACATACCACGTGGGACACCCTTCTAAAGGACATCGAGCCATCGCACACCGCCTACTGGCGGTTGGCCCGCAGTCTGAAAGCAGACCCCCGCGAATCTACCGCCGTTAGTAAGACCTAATAGCGGTTCAGCAGCCCTAGATGACTCCGAAAAAGCCGAATGCCTTGCGGACAACCTAGAGCAGCAATGTACGTCACCGAGCGAACACACCGATACAGCCCACCTAACGGAGACCGCGTAATCGAGATTAGGGCTGCGCTTCCACCGGAAGGCGATCCTTAAAGTTCAAATACCCCCGAAGAGGTTTAAGACATTATTAAAAATTTAAAACCCAAATCCGCCCCGGGCCCAGATAATCTTAGTAACAAAACTCTTAAAGCTCTCCCTGGGCCGCTTATCTGTTTACTGGCGACCGTTTTAAATACTTTATTCTCCAGTTGCTCCTTTCCGGACGACTGGAAAGAAGCCACGGTTATCGGCATTCGCAAGCCGAATAAACCAGCCCTCTAGTTATCGTCCCATCAGCCTCCTCAGTTGCCTGGGGAAGCTCTACGAGCGGCTTCTATTAAACAGGCTCAAAGAGCACGTGTTTTCCAACGGCCTTCTGCCGGCGGAAAAATTCGGCTTTCGAGCTAGACATTCCTGTCCCGATCCTAAAAGGCCTAAATCACCCCAAACACATTAGTACAGGGGCTCTCTTCTTCGATGCCGCAAAAGCATTCGACAAAGTCTGGCACAACGGCTTGCTTTACAAGCTTTACACACTCAAAGTGCCAGATAGGCTCGTACACACCATCCGGGCATTTTTGTTAAACCGCTCTTTTTGATATCGAGTCGAGGGCACCCTCTCCACAAGCCACCGCCTCACGGCCGGCGTACCACAAGGCTCCTGCCTCTCACCCTTTTTATTTACGCTCTACACGAGCGACATGCCTAGAGACCCCCACGTCAATCTCGCGCTTTTCGCAGATGACACGGCGCTCTTTTACTCAGATCGTAACCTCAGCCAATTAACGACTCGACTCCAAAGCGCCGCCGACCGCCTCGGCGATTGGTTCCGCAAATGGAGAATAGAAATAAATCCCGAAAAGAGTGTGGCGATTCTCTTCACACGAAGTACTTACCCGTCACATCATTATAATGGCCCTCGTCAATGCAGATAGTTGGGGCAAATATTCCTTTATGGCCAACCGCTCCCCTGGGAGAAAAAGGTCAAAAACTTAGGAGTCACTTTCGACTCGCGTATATCATTTACTACGCACATTAATAACGTTCGCAATAGAGCCGCGTTCGTCTCCGGCGGCTACACAATTTAACTAACGCTAAAAGTAAAATTCCCTTAAGGCACATGCGTGGCCCTACCAATAGCGGAGGGCCCAAACCCGTGGGTTCTGGCTAGCCCACCGGTTATGCGTCAGATGAAGCTTTAATAGTGTCGAAAGCAAAAACATCAGTTAATACAAGATACTTGGAGAACCATCGATACTATCGGTAGTATCGACAGAATTGACACGTGACAATACTATCGATAGACTGTCGATACTATTGCTTTTACCTTAACTATCGATAGATAATCGATTGTCTATCGATAGCGGACTATCGATATGCAACATTACTACAAATTTTAAAACTTCATCTTAAGGCGCTGTATGCAGTAAAAATAGGTTTTTCAAAAGATTTTTTACCCAAATCTACACATTTTATAGCAGCAAAAAAAATATATGGTAATCTTGATCCTACATTCTAAGGGAAGATTGTTTCCAAAACATATTCTCTATATATTTTCTCGATAGAAAAAAATCATGAAACTACCTTTAAAAGAGAAATTCAAATCCAAAAATGAACGTAATACATCAACAAATCTTAATGAAATTAATATCAGTGGTGTAGAATATATTAATAAAAAGGATTGTTGTTTTAATTTTTTGATTGATGTAAGATATTTGTAAATATTAATTTAATTCATTAAAATTAATTCGAACGCGATGGCCAAAACACCGCGCCACCGCGGCGTTGTTCCGGTTCTCTTCCAACTCCACACGTTGAACAGAGAGCCAGTTTCAGTATATATGTCTTATCTATGCAATGAATGACGCGGTCTAGCGGCGCGTCAACGAAACTCGCGCTAGGCATGAGATATACCTGCAACATTCTATACCCGGCCACAAAGGTACGGGTATCGCCGTATACCCGGTGCTAAAACCCAGTATCAAAATACCTATAGGTATTAGTTATGTTCAGGCCTCCTTTTGGAGACCCGGTATGGAATTGAACTTTTCTTTGGTTGGAATTGGAACATTTAGATGTTTTTTTAACAATCAGTTTTTTTAAATTGAGATTTAATCAGTCTAAAATAAGCTCCATCTTTACTAACGTAAAGAACCCTGTTATCAAAACAAAAGTAATTCAAAATAAATATTACTGTTTAACCTTATTACGCAATTATTTATTTAACTTATGGTCATAGAAATAAATAATAAATTTATCTCAAGGAATTATTTGGTTTAAAATGCCTAAATCATACGTTTCAATTCGGGCATGATCGGGAAGAGCCGCCGTAAGCGTTCGGGGAACTTCGTACCTATTCGGCCGGCGGGTTATCGCGAGCGTTATATACCGCCACCGTCGGACGAGGCGGCCATACCTATCGGGTATGGAACGGGCCTCTGCCGTACATACCCGGTGTGCGTACTGGTATGTTCATACTGGGTATTTATACCTGTTCCAGTATATACGCCTCATCCCTAACTCGCGCGCTGCGCGCCGCTAAGCGGCGTTACCCCTCCTCCGCTTCCTCATACTTCACCCAAATATTTAAAAATTCACTGCATACAACGCCTTAAGTGCAGAGAATAACACTATAAAAAATAATATTATTTAAATGTATTCTTTGGCTTAAAATCATATTTCTTTATTTTAGACATCTCCAGTTCAAACAGATTAACAATCCAGATTTATAATTTTTATTATATTTTCCTTTTTCTCGGCTTCTTCTTAATGCCCCTTTTAAGTTCAATTGATTTTTTTACTTTATTATTAATTTCTGTATGAATGATTTTTTTGGTGTCGAGAATTGCACATTCATAACCCTTCAACAGGTGACTAAATACTTCCTCTGGTATTTCCATTTGTGGTATTTCATCTTTTCCCCTTGCCAAAAGGAGTTCCTAAAAAAGTTGTTAGAATAATAAATAAAAAAAAAACAAAAACATGAACATGGAATAGGCATGCTGATGAAGTCAACTAGGTGTCGCATCTCACATGTCTAGACTTTAAATTATCATGAAAATTCATATATAGGAACTTCGTAAAGATACTATCAGTCAGTTAAAGAGGATATGGTTCTGTAACTAGTTTACTGTTACGGTCAAGTACAAAATCGGTAAGGGAATATAAATATAATCAAAACCAGATGAGGTTTAAGCTGCCTCTCAGAAATTAGAAAGTTTTTTGTGGAAGCAAATTAAAGTATAAACCAATATAAACAAAAAGTATGATATGCCCTTCAAATAAAATTTCACTAAGGTCACCCACCTTAAACATGTTTAACTGACTATGTTGCAAAATTGTTACAGCATAGCCTATTCTTCCAGCCCTTCCTGTTCTACCAACTCTGTGGACATATGTTTTAATATTCCTGGGTGGGTCATATGATATAACATAATTACAATCTGGTATGTCTATTCCTCTTGCTAAAGCATCTGTGCTAACTATCCTAAAAATACATTATAATACTTTGTTTATTTTCTGATCCTTGGGCAACCTGATATGCATATACAGCATGTCGTTACCATCGCAACAATAAATGAACACACATCTAACGTTACTAATCATAAAAAATATTAGTACAACAAAATCCATAATTAAAAAAATATATTTTTTAAACAAACTAATTGAATAAAAAAGAAACAAAATTTGTAACATCCTATACAACTATAACTGACTGATTCAGAGTTGAGACTTTTTCATTTGTTGCCACAGCCACACATTACAAGCCTCTCCTTCTAACAGTTTTGTCTCTTTTAAATTCATTCAACCCATTCATATGCTTTGTGACCTTTACAAATGAACTTTACGTTACAGTTTTATACATAATGGTGTTCTAAAATTCTTTGTTTTGGAAATTTAATAACTCTGTAAATATTGATGTTTAAAGAATGTAAATATTTAATATAATTTTAAAAAGTTATCCTCTATATGTGTGTTCATTTATTGTCGCTATTGTAAAGACATGCTGTATACTTAAAATAAGACACTTACACATTTACTTCGGTCTTTGAAAAATTTTTAAACACATTATCTCTTGATATCCTATCTAATGCTGATGATAACTCAGCTACTTTTAGATTTTGTTCTTTACCCCATTCATTCAGTAAAACTGTCAATCGATGTGCTGACTTTGCAGAATTTGTGAAGCATAAGACTTTGTCCCATTTTTTTTCAACCAATAAATGAAATAATATTAGAGGTTTATCTTCAGCATTACAAGACACATAATGTTCTATCAGTTCATCAGGTGTTGCATATTTTTTGATAACATTTTCACCTTCAATATCTGAAATTGGAGCTGCAGAAAATAGTTTTGGTTGAAATAATCCCCATTGTTCTAATAATTCCGGGTCAGGAGAAAGAGTTGCAGAGAAAAGTAACTTATGAGGTAATGATTTCTGATCACTTATGCTGTTCCAATTTAACTGTGGGACTTTACTAGACACCGATTCATTTTCTAATCTTAAATGCCTATCCATATGATAAAGCCAATCATTTTGAATATTGTCCATGATTCTGTCAGCCTCGTCTATAACTAGAAATTTTAAATGTTTTAATGAAAACCCTTTGGTATTTTGTAAATGTTCCACCAATCTTCCTGCAGTGCACACTACTATGTCAACTTCACTTGTCCACCCAGATGATTCACCTGAAACATATTAATAAATTAAAAACAAAAATTAATAGTGGTATTGCTACTGATTATTTAGTAGTTATAGGCTCATGACCATAAATGATTGTACATGAGAGACCAAGCCTTGCTCAGCGTTTTTTCCATATCATCTTATTTGTTAGTACTCATAGTCTAACATTAAATAGTCTAACATTTGTTCTTGTGTAAATTGCGTTTTTTCGCATCAAGAAAAAACTTATAAAGCAATCTTAATAAAAATAAATCATCAAAAAAAATCAAATAAATCAAGTAAAAACTTAAAAATCTAATTACAAAGTTAGATATAAATTAGTGTAGCTATCTTTAATATATGCAAGATTTACATGAATACAAGAGTTTCTTGTTTAAAGAAATAAGATTTAGATTAGTATATAATAGGAGGGATAAAATATAACTGCAATTACTGTATTTCATAAGCTGTTGTTGTTCTTGATGTAATGGTGTTGAACCACATCAATAAGGCAACTCTTAAGCCAGTATTTGTACAATACTTCTTACATACTTTAGCAACCTGCAAGGCTAACTCCTGTACTGGTAAAACAATTAACGCTCTTGTGTAGTGTCCAATTTCATCCATTAAGATCTAAAAATAACAGAAAATTGTCATTTACAAATTTTTGGTAATCTTTTGGAACTACAAATAATCTATTAGGGATATATAGATATATATAATTTATACCTGAATGATTGGTAAAACAAAAGTTAAAGTTTTTCCACTGCCTGTGGGTGCAGAAACACAAATATCATGAGGCCATAAAGGATATGGTAACTTATGCTCTTTTAATATGAATGGTATAACTTTTTCTTGCACAGGAAAGAAATGTGTTACACCTTCATTGCTTAATGTTGTTTTTAAAGTATTATGTAACCAAGGTTGATCTTCTATTTTGCAAATTAAATTTTGCATGTTTTTGGAAACATTGAAAGGATTTGAAAGCCAGTATGGCAAAATCCGTTGTACCTATAATTAAAAAAGAAGTGTAAATAAAGTATGTTGTAAATTAAAGTAGTGTGTAGTAAACTATGTTGGAAATTACTTGTCAATTTTAATATTAAGAAAAAAATACCTTTGCTTTTTTTTCGAAATCATTAAATCCCAGGACTTTGAATTCAACTCCTTTATTGATTGTTTCACATTTGATTTCATTGTTTTCTTCAATTACTTCTTTTTTATTGATGTCTACAGTTTCATTCAAGTTCTCTTTATCAAGTAAATTTATCTTACGTGTTTTTTTTGCAGTATCTTGCTGTTTAAGTGTAATTGTATCTGGGACTTGTAGTTTCACTTGCAATTTTTTTCTTTCTTCTATCTTTTGTTTTAATTCTTGCAAATGTTTAGTTTCTCTATCAATTAAGTCTTCATCTACATCATCGCCCTTATATCTAGGAAAAAACGAATAATACGGAAAAGTGTTTTTGGTAAAATAATATACATAGGTATGCTTTAAACTAGTGATGAATTCTCCTCCAAAAATGCCGATGAGAATACAAAATTCATACCCTGTTGATGACAAAACAACACATAATACGTATTAATAAAAAATATTACAATACCTGTTTATAATAAACAAATCCATGCTTCAGTCTCTAAACCAGAAATTAAAGACATAAATTTATTGTGATTAATTTTTAGAGGACTTTCAACAGTCTTGAAAGTATTTGGTATATTGCACACGGGTCTTACTTAGATTCTTATATTTTAACAAAAGTACTCAAATAAAAAACATAACCTCTAACAGGGGTGATACAATTCTTCGATACATTTGTTTGACATATCAAAATCAAAATTCATTTCATGCAGTGTTACAACTATCGAAAATAATTGACATAAAGTTTACTGTTCACGCAAATGAACTTGTGCGTGTTAATTATATTCATAATTAATAGCGCGTTGTCAACAAGTTCTATTTTTTAGGGAATAGAATGGTAATTTTTTGAAAAAAATAAGTTTGTTTTTTATTTCAATAAATAATTATACTACCGAGCTTGAAACTCCCGTGTAAATTTGGGCACCTGAAAGTCTCCCTGTATATTATAATTATGTTATAACCGTTTCTAAATTTTCTTTCAATTTTTTTTGTTGTTATCCTGAATTGTTATAATAATATTGTTAGTATAGTGTTTACTGTTCGTGCGCTGGCACCAAATTGCGGAAATCATTAACATCCCTCATAAAATAAATGAGTTGCTTAGAAATCACGCACTTTTTGAGGTAAGTTCCAATTAATGTAATTAATTACTTACAAGTGATTTAAAATATTTATCATTTTTTATATAACATTATTTGTGTCTAGAATTTAATAAAAAACATGGATACACAGTACACTTAGAAAAGCCTCCAACAAGTCAACATTAATGATGACTAGTTAGAAACGAATATATGGGCGTGCGTGTGTGTGTGTTAAGTGTGCGTATGCGTGTGAGAGCATTTGTGTGAGTGTATGTGTGCGTGCGGGCGCACATTTCTGTGTATGTGTATCTGTGGATACTAAATAGCTTTCTCAATTCCAGAATAGAGCTGTTTTTGTAATTGCAAATATTTACAAGTTTGTTATATGTATATGGGAAGAGAAAATTTCCAAATTTATGTGTGAAAAAGAAAGTCACCATTATACTAGGCACTTTAAAAACGTGTCTTTGCAGTATATCTTTAAAACTATTAGAGTTTATCACGGATTTGTGAACATGCACTGCTACTCTCGTGTATAATCTCCTGACGCCCGAAATTCATGACTCTTGGTAACGAGTGTCGGTTGGGTATTTCATTGCTTTACCGAGAGCAACTTTTAAGACGCCTCTTTGTGCTCTTTCGAGAGGGAGAAGAGTTATAGAAGTGGAACAACCCCAAGCAAGAATGCAGTAGTTTATAAGTATATAGTGGTTGACACAGAGCTAAGTATATAGTCATTATCAATTTACGATCGACTGCGGCACGAAGGTTTTTCATGACAGGAATTAATTTTAGAACTCGTTTTTCTCATTTCAGAAATGACTAATTCTGCTATATGTTGCTGGAATGTGAGTTTTACATCCAAGATGACATCAAGGTCTTTTAGTGAATCTGTTCTATTAACTTCAGTGCAGTTACAGTTAAGGGCATTGAGCGGAGTGTATTTTTATAGAATTAAGGGATTTCGGAGCAGAAGCGTCAGTTTTGTGGAAGCATAAGAACTTAGTTTTAAGGGGATTAAGGGATAATAGGTTGAAATTTAACCTCAGATTTTCGCCGACCCATTCCGATTTCTGCTTTTTGACGAAATGTCACCCAAGATTGGCTATGGAATATAATGGCAGTATCGTCTGCATAACAGAAAATTTCAGCACTTGGACATTGTAGAGAATCGACGTCATTTATGTATAAAAGAAAGAGGGTAGGTCCAAGAATGCTACCTTGTGGGCTACCAAAGGAGACTGGCGTCAGACTGCTTTTCTCATAAGCGATCTTAACGCACCGTAGTCGCTTTGAAAGGTAGCTACCAAACCATTTAAGGCAATTGCCTCTCATGCCATATGCCTCCATTTCTCAAAAGTATTAGGATAGAAATTGAGTCGAACGCCTTTGCAAGATCTAGAAAGATACCTATGCGTTTAAATCTTTTATCAGTATGGGAGACTACAGAATTAACAAGATGGGTTACTCCATCTTCTGTGAATCTACCATGTCTGAAACCGTATTGATGATTCATGAGCACTTTGTTTGTCTCTAAGAAGGATACCAATCTTTTATTAATTATTCGCTCTAGTAGCTTCGCTAATATTCCCCAGAAGAAAAATCAACCGGTAATTACTAGGGTCTTCCTTTGGTCCGCTATTGTGTATTGTTGTTATTACTGCCGTTTTCCAGGATTACGGAAAAGTACCTGCTTCAATGCTTAAATCAAATATGTAAGAGTGGTTCCGCCAGTACATAACCAATAGTTTTGCGGATTTTGGTGTTTATGCCATCAAGACAAGGTGAGCTAGGTTGAGTATTAGTATTAAGATCTCTTGCGGATCCATCGGTGAGATAAAGAAAGAGTTTTTTTGCACCTCTTTAATTTGTACTTTCTGTGCGAGGGATTCGTGAGTCTCTTTAAAGTCTGATAAAATGTTACTGGCCAGCTGTTGACCGACTGACGAAAAATAGCCATTATAAGCCTCTAGAGATTTTTTTAAAGAACTCCTAATGTTTGTGATATCTTTGAGAGAGGTTTTAGAATTTTTTTTTAAAGATCTTTCCACGATCAATATTTTTATCGTAATTCCAAAAATGAGATTCTTAGTGAATGATAAGAATGTTGAAGTACTTATGAGACTTTGTTTAAAAGTTTCGCCATTGAATGCATTTTGACGGTCACTTTTTAATGCATATAGACGGTTCTTCTTATTTCTTCTCTCCATGGTTTAACTTCGCATTCTTAGGAATGAGAAACCGTAATATGATGTCGCTAAGCCGCTAGTTCAAAATATATATATGATAGGTTAAACTGAGTTATTTCAGGCCCTCTATTTTTTTATACCTCATTTTTTAATTAAAAAAATTATTAGAAATAAAAAAATCCCAAGGCGTTTGTTTACCCCCTAAATTTGAGGGAAAAACTAAGTTGGCAGCCCTGAATTCATGGTTTAAAATAATGTAGAGCTAGAGCTGCATGCCATGCATCTATCGAATGCATCCGAAAAGCTACATCAAGTACTCTAATTATTTAGTAAAAGCTACAACTAGTACAGTAATTATTTATCTTTTAATTTTTTGTGCTAGTCTTCGCAGTTAATGTGAAATTATAAAATGTTTATATAAAACTGTAGCAAAATTTTTGGCCCTTGCCTCCTGGCAAGAGCTTCTATGTCTTCTGTATTATGCTTCCAGATGCTTTACTCTAATCTAATCCTAAGCTAAGCAGTCGACATCCTCATCGCGTGAAAACCTTTACGACATATCGACTTTTTATATTGCATTTTTAGCAATGCTAGCACACGAAACTTGACGAAACTCAAAGGACATTTTTAAAATGAACCTTTTAATAGTTGAGACTACTATTGAAATTTATTTCAATTTCTACACTTACAATGAAACTTAAAAATGTGTCGATAAAACTGTCGCAAAATGTTATCCCGGTGCAATGTGTCTGCCCGATATCGATCAAAAGGACATGTGGTTGCGGTTTTCTCCTGTCATAGCCATTCGCTTTTTTCGTTTCTTCTCCTGCAGTTTTGACAAAGCGAGGATCATTCAGTACCACGAGCCGCTAGGAGAAGTCGCTGACGATTTTTTGGATTTCAGTTCTTATCGGAGATTTTATTTATCTCGGGATTTGCAGTTCTTGCCTAACTTTTACCGGTCAGTCGATCATCAAACGATCTTGGTCTTAGATATTAGATCTTGCATTGTTATTGCTTGAGGTTGCATTGCATGAATAGCCTCTGTAAGTTTATCGACATAAGTATAATCCATAGTAAGAATGTTATGTTTTGACGCGTCGCTCACTATGGTGTCGGCGCAAAGAGCTAATCCGAGTAAAACTGTAGATATCACATCGATACACGATTGTGTATGTGCGTCTAATAGCTTCGCGAGAAGTGCGGTTTGGAGAGATGAGTGAAACCATTAGATCATTCCGATTCCTTCAGGGTGGTATGCTGTTTTTTCTTGATTCTTATCATTTTAGTTAGGTTGACGAATAGTTGAGATTCAAGTCTTCTGATATCTGATGTGACGGCGTCGTGGGCATCCAAATCCGTCGTTGTCTGTAGGTATAACTTCGGACCATCGGGTTAGTAGTCGATCGTTGTAACTTTTTAACTTAATGAGGTGTTGTAGCCAATGTTCCACAGATGTCAATGTGTATGTGTTGAAATCTATCAACTTTTTTGATTTTCGAGAATATGTGTGTTTGCTCTTCTGACGACTTATATAACTACGTTTTATTTTAATTTCCGATATCTGCGTTCAATGAAGGCCAGAAATACTTGTATGTTAGTTTACGAGTCCCATGTGTGCCGGGGTGACCGACATTGTGAACACTGTTGACAATTTCTTTGCGTAGATCTTCCATGTACATAAGGGCGTATATATGGGTTTGATGTCTCACAATACAGCTGGATGTCCGTATTTGGTACTATGTCACAGATGAGTGTGATATCGACGTCGTAGTCTGTGGGTCACCTACAACTGCTATAACTTGACCAGCGTACTACATACTACACTCGACAGAAAAAAAATAATACACTGTTCTTTTTTAACTATAACTAAGTTCAATAAGTATGTATTGAGTGTAGAAAATCTTAGGGATGGGCAAGTAAAAAAATATCGATGTAAATCATATCGACATTTTAAAAAGTATCGATAGTTATCGAGTGGAGAATATTGATACATCGTCGTTTTTGCATGATTATTTTTACAGTTAACGATACGTGAGGAGCAAGTAAAGAGTACTTATTAGCATTAAACAGGAAGCCAGAGTTGCGTTAAAAATGTATCGAAATTGACACGAATTCGATAGTCTAAAATGAATATCGAAATATCAAACAATGTCGACGACATATATCGTTGATTGTATAGAAAGATATCGACATTTTTATATATCGATATTTTTTGCCCATGCCTAGAAGATTTGTCCAACTCCAATCAATCCAATGTATGTCTGCACGGTCTTTTCAGTCCATACATTTGATATTTGTATGGAGCTTGCTCATTCCGGTTAGATCCGTCCGTCGAAAACAGATGGCGTTGTTTTAAATGAAAAACCATTTTAACCTTGGTACCATTAAATTAAAAACATAATTGTATTTCAAGTTAAAATAAATTTGAAAAAAAAATTGCCATCGGATATGTTTAAAAATATGCTGCTAAGTGGATGACAATGGAGGACAATGAATTTAAAGTTAGGTTAAGTTAGATTAGGCAAAAAACAATTGAATGTTTTGATGGATCTTTTATGATTGAATTGAATAATCTTATTCCCATTATTTATTGTCTGATTCTTAAGAATAATGAAAATGATTATAACGTCACAATAAAATGTGTTAATTTGTATAAATATTTTTTAAGTCAATGAACAATGTTCAAGGTCAAGAATATTAATTAAGTTAATTTTTAAATAAAACAGTTTTGATTACTCAGATAATTACATTTTCGGTTACTTATTCTAGCTTGTTAGATAATTTAAAAAAAAGGTGACTTTTTCATTTAGGAAGTTGGATTTTAGGAGGTTGTTCAATGTTACCAACTGTTGACAAAAAAATTCTTTTGGAGTTTTTTTGTCAACAGTTGGTAACACTGAACTGCGGCCGGTTATTATTCATGTATTTTATTCGGTTGTCTTTCATTATTCATCATTTTATTTTGTTATACGTTTCGGCATTGTATTTACAGGTAAAGACTGCAACGCAAATTTGCATTCTTTTTCTCACCTGAAAATGATAGTGACTGATTTAAAACATGGATTCAATCGATTGGAGGAAATTTACTGATTTTGGATAGCCAAAAATAATTTAACGTAAATAATTTACTAAATGGCACCGGACTCGAAATCATTTCTAACAAAGATTATAAAAAAAAATAGCGAGTGAATATTATAAAAAACGAAAGATTTCGCAAAACATATTTCTGTATTTTATTTAATTTATCCCAAAAATAACATCTAGCAAGCTTGTATCCAATTACAGTTTTCTATAAAATGTTATCAAATATAAATAAAATAAATTTCATATACACTATATACAGCGTGTCGTTACCATCGCAACAATAAATGAACACAAGTCTAACGCTACTTGCAAATAATCTTAAAAAAATATTAACGTTAAACAAAATCCATAATTAAAAAAAAATATTTTTCAAACAAACTAATTAAGTAAAAAAGAAACAAAAATTGTAACAACTCGCGCCACAGCGTCGCATTTCAAGCCTCTCCTTCTAACAGTATGTTTTGTCTCTTTTAAATTCATTCAACCCATTCATATGCTTTGTGACCTTTACAAATGAACTTTACGTTATAGTTTTATACGTGAGGGTGTTCTAAAATTGTTTGTTTTGAAAAATTTAATAACTCGGTAAATATTGATGTTTGAAGAATGTAAATGTTTATTACAATTTTAATAAGTTATCCTCTATATGTGTGTTCATTTATTGTCGCGGTGGTAACGACACGCTGTAGAAAACTATAGTTGAATACAGCTCTCAACTGTAAAAACAAAATGGTTAATTAGTATAGGTTATAAACATCTGAACTTGTAGTTTGGTCCCGCATTAAGAGATGGCACTGTCTGATGGAGGAGACTGATGACTCTATATTAATAATGTACCTACTCTTTGTATGTCTTGTCTGTATGAAATGGATCCGTCAGATAGGATTTGATAGCATTAATTTTCGAGCATTTCGGTAATTACTGAGTTGTTGTTTCAGAATTTATTCAGATGTTTCCTATTCACTTTGTCCTATGCAAAAAATAATATTCTATCTATTTTGTATTTGTTAAGTTGGAATACTGTGAATTTGAAGACCAAATCCAGTCAAAATGGCTAGTGTATCCTATCAAATAGCTAATCTTCTAGAGAAGGTAACCGGCTCTTGCTTTTTATCACGATTTTACTATGTTATTCTTTGGGCGATAATATTGTTTATTTTATGATTAAATGTAAAATATCAATATTTTTAAGATGACATCAAACGACAAAGACTTTAGATTTATGGCTACAAATGATTTAATGACTGAGCTGCAAAAAGACAGTATAAAGCTCGATGATGATTCGGAAAGAAAAGTTGTAAAAATGCTACTACGTTTACTTGAAGACAAGAATGGAGAAGTTCAAAATTTAGCTGTGAAGTGGTAAGTTTTGAGTAAGGAATGTATAAATGTCTTTTGTGTATCAGAGTTTTAATTAATTTTGGCTAATATTCCGAATAGTACGTCTCGTTTTTCAAGCTAGAAAAAAAATTTAATCGATAGAGAAATGTTAATTATTAAATATTATATAAGTTATAATCAATGATAACCACTAGATTATGAGGAAAAAATTAACAAAGTTTTTAAATTTCATACAACTGAAATCCGTCATTACTGTGCGTCCATTATTCATTATAGACTATTATTTTAAGTTAAAAACTTACGTTTTCAATTTTTACGTTTTAAGAAGACACAAATACACAGATATATCACAAAAACACAAGTTTCTACTTCATGAACATGTATTATTAACAATTTCTAATATTTAAAATTTGTGACTTAGGGTACACTTAATGTCTCGAATATTAGGTTCAAAATGACTCACAGATCCGATACAGAGCGATCCGACTCGGATAGGTTAGGTTAGAAGGTTAAGGCGGGAGCGAAGTAATTATTAACATTTCTCTATCGATAAAAATTTTTTCTAGCTTGAAAAACGAGACACACTGTTCGGAATTTTTACCTTAATTTTTAATTAATTTTGCAGTCTTGGACCACTTGTAAACAAGGTGAAGGAGTTTCAGGTAGAAGGAATTGTAGAGACTCTTTGCACAAACATGTTGTCAGATACAGAGCAATTGAGAGACATAAGTAGCATTGGATTAAAAACAGTAATATCTGAACTTCCACTTGGATCTAATACCCTAGCTGCAAATGTGTGTAAGAAAATTACAGGAAAATTAAGTAGTGCTATAGAAAAGGTAAGTTGTAACAAAAATAATTTTAAATTTTTGTATCATTATTGCTAAAGCAAAATATAAATTGCTAGCAGAGGATTTTTGATTGCAAGATTTATTATCACTTACAGCAAGAAGATGTGTCAGTTCAGCTAGAAGCCCTGGACATACTAGCTGATTTATTAAGTAGATTTGGAAGTCTACTGATATCCTTTCATCCAGTGTTATTAAATTCTCTTCTGCCTCAACTTTCATCTCCTCGACAGGTAATCTATTTTTTGTCTTAAAATTTATATTTTGGATAGACAGGTTCATATATGAGCAGTAATGTATGCTAACATAGGAGATTATCAATAGTAATTTTTTTATTTATATAGTAATTTTTTCAGGCTGTTCGTAAGCGCACTATAGTGGCACTGTCACATTTGGTGATGTCATGCAACTCATCGTTATATAGTAAACTTATTGATCACTTGTTAGAGGGTCTGAGTTCATCAACATCGGCTAGTGTCACACGCACCCATATACAGTGTATCGCATCTGTATGGTAAGATACTTCAAATTCTGAAATTTTTTGATAATTTTAAAATGTCCGAAATAATCAGTTAATATTATTGTTAAAAAAAATGTAAAAAAAAAAAATCATGCATGTACTTAAGTGTGTGGTTATCTACATAGATTAGAAGTATATACTGTAGTCTGATTGTTTCATATAACATATCGAGCCATTCGTGGCCAACTTATCACAAGCGACACTTATCGAAATTGAGATTTTTGTTGTAATTAATGTTTTAAATTTTAATGGGCCAAGCCTGGCTAACGTTTTCTTTCAAACCTATAATTCACATTTTTTGTTTTTGCAACTGCTTAGATTATTGTTAATACAAATTTTATGGTGGTAGGGCCACGCAGCAGCCTCGACTATTGCACGAATGGGCAGGCTCGTCCGGGTAAGTACCACAACCTCACAGAAGACCGGCGTAAAGTGGAAGTATAATACTTTCGCATTTCGTCTTGTGAGTGAGGTGGCCGGAGCCCAATTTTCAACAGGGTTGTCAGCACACCTGCTACCCTCGGGTGTAGCAGATGTCCATGGGCGGCGGTATTCACTTAACATTAGGTGAACGGTCTGCTCGCTTGGCAACTTTTCACATTAAAAAAAAACTATTTTTAACATTTTAATTGTGCTCGTCTATTACATTTATTATATTTATTGTAAGTTTAATAAGGAATGAATATTTTTAGCATGAGTGTCCTTGCTTGTTATCGCAAGGGACATGGTACATCAAAGTTTGTTGTATACTACAAACAGATCTGTTCTAGCTTAAGTATATTTCAGTGAAAATTATTATATAATAACCGTCCCTCTGCATTAAATTTGACTTTAAATTATAGTTTTAGGAGTATAAATGCTTTAAAGTGTTTTTTTTTAAGTAAAAAATTTTTGTAACAGTGTTTATTTTGTAACTACTTCAATTACCGATAACAAATGCCAGTGTTTCCTTAAATATGGGGACTTCGTCATTAACCATTGATGCTTCGGGCTTCGAACCTAAGTCTTCTGGGTAACTGGGTAATTGTTGTGCCAAATAAGCTAAGAGGCCAATGATTTCACGCAGAAACACGCACATCTCGGCAAACCCATAAGACGTATGTTCGAAACCCTCATCAAAGGTTAAGCATCTGTCTCTAAAAATGTCACTCCAGACCATGACTTAACCTAACGGCCTAAAACCTCGTGCAGGACAAAAACAGACAAACATATTTTAGTATGTATATTATATACATGATGTAGATAGAGAGTATTATTTTTGGTCTGCATTTATAAGAAATGTCAAGCATTAAAATTTTATTGCTGCTTATGTGCCTTTGGCAAAAACATTTATTAAATGTGGAGATTTGTTAATAGTATTTTTAATCTAATTTTCGCACATTGTACATGTATCATGTAAATATCTGGACTCTGCATTAAAAGTAAAATAATTAATGAATACTTTTTTGATGACAAAATTAAAATTAGCAGAGATTCTCGTTTTACCACCTAAAGTATGCACTTAATAAAGAAAGGATACATGAAAATGGTATGTGGGTTGTATATTGTTACTTGTAGAGTGAATGTCAAGGAAAAAGATTTAATATGTTAGATAAAAAGACAACCCAAATGGCATAGTGGATAGTCTCTTTTGCCAGAGGGTTGTGGGTTTGATGCCCACTACTAGAAAAATATTGTGTGTTGAGCATAGTGTTTTTCCAGTGTCTAGGTGTTTATATATGTTTTTATTTACAAAAGAAAAATATGTTTTAGTATGTTTATTAATTATCTAGTACCCATAGTACAAGTGTTGCTCGAACAGAATGTTAGGTAAAAATGTGTTGAAAAAAATTTACATTATCTTTGTTACCAGCTAAAATCAAAATTAATTTCAATTAATTAACTAGTGATGAATTTTTATAAAATTAATTTAATATAACAAATTGTATTACGGTTTTGTTTAAAGACGATTTTGATAAATATGAACTGCAATACTGTGTGAATTTCATAGTCAGATCGAGAGAAAATAGACCTGTTGTCCAAAAAATATCCACGCCTATATCAATATTTTAGCTCAAAGACTACAGGATCTGAGTAAAGAAAATATAATACAAAATAGATAATGTCAAAAGTATTTCAATATGAATTATGATCAGGCAATATATCAAGGCATGTGTTAACTGAAATGGAAAAACTATGATTCCGATAGGGATAATTAATGTGATCTCAAATTGTTTATTGTATTAAAAATTACTGTTATTCTATACTGATTGTTACCATAAAGAGCAATGTAAAACAATTCATACAAGAACAATTAATAATTTTTTACGCTTTTTTTAGCTTAAGTTTAATTACTACTAATCTCAGTGTGTATGAAGACAGCAGAAATATAGAAAGCTCCATAAAAAATCTTAAAACAATTATTTTAATAAGTTTTGAAAATTTCACTTTTATGTGTAATTTTTTTTAAAATACCTCCTTTTAAATTTGATATTTGACTGTTAAATTGATACGGCAGTGGCTCCAATATGTTATGAAAAAATTGAATTCAAACCTAATTTTTGCATTTAAATGAGTAATTTTTTGTATAAATAATACATTTTAATGTTTATGAATAAATATAGCATTGAATTATTAAATAGATAATCTAAATAAAAATAGAAAAAAAATATTAAAATTTATTTGTCTGATAACTATTTCTTGATAAATCTGCGAGAGACATAAAACTGTATTTTGGTGCAAATGACGAAATCAAGAACGTTTTTTATAGTCGTCAAGCAGGCCACAGATTTGGTGAGCATCTTTGGCGTGTAGCTCCATATGTACTGCAGCGTTCCTCTGACGATGATGACGAATTGCGTGAGCATTGTTTGCAGGCACTTGAAGCATTTGTGCTTAAATGTCCTAAAGAAGTACAACCACATATTCCTGTTGTAAGTTGTAATTTTTAGGTGATGGTATTTATCTTATAATGTTTTTTTCAATAAAAATTATTTTTTTTTGTAGATTACTGACTTATGCTTGCTGATGATGACATACGACCCCAACTACAATTATGAGGATGAAGAAGAGGGTGGGGGTGGTGAAGATGAAGAAATGGAGGATGAATCAATTGAACCAGATGCAGATGCCGAATCTGACTCCGAAGAATACTCAGATGATGATGACATGTCTTGGAAAGTATGAGCTAGTTGTAATATAAAATGTTATTTCTCTAAGTTTTCATTCAAGCATTAGTTTTAATGGTGGCACAGTAAAAGGCAGTGATAGTTTATCTTATATGAAATCTGAAAATTTGTTGAATGTTAAGACCGATGAGTCCTTCTTTCATGATTTTATCCTCAAATCAGGTACAATTTCAGATATTTACTTTGTTATATTTCTTTTTATCTCATAAAATTAGCAGCTTAATTTTTTTTAAAACAAATTGTTTGTTCCTATACTGCTCAATTATTTGATATATTTTATCTATAAATTGTAAATCCTAGGCTCTAAGTTAAGCATATAGTTAACATATATTATAGCACATATGTCTAACTTTTATTCAGGTTTGTGAAATACCGTTGCAAAAGAATATAATGTTACAAAACAATAAGAAACTAGCATATTTTACAAAATTATAAAGTCAATAATTTCTAACAGGTACGTCGTGCAGCAGCTAAATGTCTGGAGTCAGTAATTGCCACACGGCATGAGCTTTTAGCTGAAATGTATCAAAAAGTGTCTCCTGCATTGATTGAGAGATTTAAAGGTGAGCAATGCCGTTTTTTTTATTAGTAAATTGCTATAATATCTTTTTTAATTTGTGTGTAAACTTTTTGATTTTGTTTAACAGAACGTGAGGAAAATGTAAAGTGCGATATACTAAGTGCTTACACTGCCCTCCTGAGAGCGACTCGTCCACCACCAGCATTACAAATGCCCATAGCCCCTACCGAGGATTCACCACAAGCTTTGCTTTTGCAAAGGGTAAGATTGCGAGAGTGTATTTTCACTATTTAAGAGCAATAAACATTTTTGCATAATATGACGGTAGTATTAGATATAAGATACAACGCACTGAAGAGAACTGGTCAGTATTTAAGATCGCTAGGAACAGGTGTAATCAGATGGTGCGTGCTGCTAAACGCCGATATATCCATAGTAATATAAATAATTCTTCGCCAGCTGATGTGTGGAAATTTCTTAGTTCTATCGGCGTTGGTAAATCGCCCTATATGGATAGTGGTCCTTCCGTTTCTCTCAATGATATTAATCTTTTTTTAGCTCTGTTTCCATAATGGACCCTGCAATCCGAGCTCAAACTTGAGCTTATATAGTTTCTTCCCAATTTCCACCCAATCCAACTCAATTTAATTTCTCTCCTGTTGATGAGGATGAGGTAAAGAAAACCATCCTGGCAATCAAATCTAAGGCTGTGGGTTGTGATGATGTAAATCGGGTATTGATAATAAATTTATTAGATTTCCTACTTCCTGCAGTCACACATATTATCAACTTTTCTCTAGACTCAGGATACTATCCGACGCTTTGGAAAAAGGTATTTGTACGGCCTCTTCCTAAAGTACCTAATCCTTCGCTTCCTAATCACTTTCGTCCTATCTCAATTTTGCCTTTCCTATCTAAAGTTTTAGAAGCCTGTGTTCATAAGCAAGTATCTACATATAATAATAAAAATAGCCTACTGAGCCCTTACCAGTCTGGGTTTCGTCCAGGACATAGCACCACAACTGCATTACTTAAAATCACTGACGATATAAGACTAGGAATGGATGTTAAAAAAGTGACAGTGATGGTGCTTGTCGACTTCTCTAATGCTTTTAACACAATTGACCACGATATTCTCCTTTCCATTCTTACCCACTGGCGTTTTGCGTCCCCGGTCTTGGATTGGTTCTTTTCCTCTCTTCGCGCGCGTCAGCAATCAGTCCGTGTGGGGCAAGAGTCATCTCAATGGACTGATCTTGTGTCTGGCGTGCCGCAAGGCGGTATGTTAGTCGGAAGTTCTAGATTGCTAGCTAAAATTGACACTAAAAATTTGCCATGTGTGCAATACAATAACAAAATAATTCCCTTTTCTGGCACTATCAAGAACCTGGGCCTGATCATGGACAGCACGATGAACTGGGGAGCACAAGTAACCGAAATCAGTCGTAAAGTGTTTGGTGCCTTACGAACTCTCTACCGTCTGAAGAATTTTCTCCCCATTAAAACCAAGCTTATGCTTGTTCAGACGCTAATTTTACCTATAATTGATTATGCAGATGTGTGTTACCCAGACTTAAACAAAGATCTTCTGAACAAGCTAGAGCGCCTTTACAATAATTGCATAAGATATATCTTTAATCTTAGAAAATTTGATCATATTTCCCAATATCGCACTCAGCTTAAATGGCTTACTGTTCAAAAAAGGCGTAATTCTAGAATTTTACTTGTTCTGATCTCGATTTTAAATGATCCAGCTTCTCCGTTATATCTTAAAGACAATTTTCAATACCTTTCGTTAAACAATGAAAGGGATCTTGATCTTCATCTAATCTGAAAATTAGAATTCCTCAACATGTTTCTACTTTTTACGGTAACTCTTTCACCGTACAGGCTACACTGCTTTGGAATTCCTTGCCTGAAGACGCCTCACGCCTCATTTAAATATATGGTACGGGAGTATTATTTAAAGAAGGATTGAATAAATTAGTTTGGCGGATGTTGTCGTATAGTCACTAATGGTCATATATTTTAAATATACAGCGTGTCGTTACCATCGCGACAATAAACGAACATACATATAGGGGATAACTTTTTAAAGTTGTATTAAACATTTAAATTCTTTAAACATCAATATTTACAGAGTTATTAAATTTTTCCAAAACAAAGAATTTTAGAACACCCTTACCTATAAAAGCGTAACGTAAAGTTCATTTGTAAAGGTCACAAAGCATATGAATGGGTTGAATGAATTTAAAAGAGACAAAACATAGTGTTAGAAGGAGAGGCTTGTAATACGACGCTGTGGCACGAGTTGTATAGGACGTTACAAATTTTGTTTCCTTTTTACTTAATTAGTTTGTTTGAAAAATATATTTTTTTAATTATGGATTTTGTTTAACGTTAATATTTTTTTATGATTATTGGCAAGTAGCATTAAACGTGTGTTCATTTATTGTCGCGATGGTAACGACACGCTGTATATCTTGATATGTATGTATTTATAATATATGTATGTATGTTTATTATTATATATAATGTGTTATTGTTTATATCTTTGTATTGTATCTATCTTTGTATTATGGTGTGTTACATAAAATAGTTTTATATAATATCTTGTATATTCTGGAGTTATATGATGTGTAATGCATATATTATTATTTAAGACACATAAATTTATTATGCAATTTTATTTATTGCACCTACCACGATTTCTCCTCACGCCCCGGGTTGACTGGTAGAGAATGCCAATAGGCATTAAGTCCGCCCTTTCTAACCCTTTTAAGGTGTTTTCAATAAAAAAATAAATAAGTAAAAAAAATAAAATATTATCATTGCAGTTTAGTAATTACTTTTATTAATGTATGATGATACATTGAATGTACTTTAAAGCGTAATGAGTGTGTAAAAGCCAATTACAATTATAGATTACTGAAGTATAAGCAAGATAATCTGTACATCGAAGCCACAGGTCTCAGCCATTCTTTTATATGAAATTCTATAGTAAACTATGCTCTGCTAACCCATTTGCGCTATGTGCTAACTTTGCCCATTTGCACAAGCTGCCGTTCACAAGCGCCAGTATTCGGGAATTAGTTTACTGATGTAATGACATACATTTAACAGCTTAAGAATTACAGAGCGCTAAATCTACAGGTTTTCTTCACCAGGATGGAATTATCACAGCTTGAGGGACTCCAGTCTTGAAAGAATTACGGGATCTTTTAATTTTGGATCATTTGTAGTTATGTTTTTTTCTTCGTGAAAGGCGACAACACAAAACTTGGCTGAAGAACTATTAGGAATGAATGAAATATTCTTTATTGTACACTACATCTGATATTGAATAATCAACAATAAATAATACAAATCTGTACAATAGGTGGCCTTATCGCTAAAAAGCTTCTTCCAAAGATTTCTTCCAGACAACCGAGAAAAAATAGATGAAAAAAACAGTAGTACGCGGTATCTAACTATATTTAATCAATCTTACTTCTAACCCACGTTTATTAAGTTATCAATGTTATCGTATCGTTTTTAAAGTTATTATTTCGTTGCTCATGGAGGCAGCCACCACATCTGGTAGAGTTTTCAGAAATCTATAATCCGTACGCTGCGGCAGATATACAAGAATCTAAAGATAGGGTATATATTATGTTGTATGTTGCTTTTTTACTAATAAAAAGACTTGAAACTCGTAACTGAGTTCTGGAATCTATACAAAGATATCAAGTAGACCAACGTTGGAGGTGCTGAGGTATGCGACGCCGCTATGATGACGGTTCGCCTACACTCTCCAGTCTAAGCTTATTTAGAGAGGCATATAATATTCCCCAAACACGGCGGCACTGGAGGTCGTGTTTAGGACTGGAGACCATTGGAGAAGGATGGAGGATTGAGGTTCATCATCATCATTATTTTAGACTGTTTGAGTCCATTGCTGAACATATGCTCCACAGACTGCCACGAAGCACGACTCTGAGCCATCTGCATCCATCGCTTTCCGCACATTTGCACAGGACATCACCTAGTGGGATAGAAATGTAGGACATTACGATGGCCAGTACGATTGAGGTTATTTCGAGGCATTAATTAAATTGCGCGAACAAGTACATTTCTCTTTTAGAGAGTCTCTTTTTTTTACATTCTTCTTCTAGTACGCTTCTTTGTTGCGTTCTTAAGGGTTTTGTCGCTGCTGGACCTCACTAGAATGCTTAGCGGTCTCAACACTCATTAGCGATTTGTATATGCATACATATTTGGATGATTTTGGATAAGACGAAAGTAACTTTCAATGGCGTCAATGTGCAACGACCAATCTGAGAATTTAACCGTTTAACCGGTGGGCTGTATTCGGGGAACTCTTCTCAATTCTCACCCTAATGCTTCAAGGCCTTAGGAAGAAAGTCATGGAACAGTGCGTTCACCTAGCTATGACCTAGGAGAGTCTTATACTAGTGAGTCTTATAAAAGTGAAGGCGTGACCATGTTGTATTCCGAAAGGTGTCCGGGGTGGTGCGCGGTGCGTTGCGCGTGATTCGCGGGCGGAGCGTCCGCGCGCGCGGTTGTGCGCTTGCCTTACTTCGCGAGCTGCTCGCCGCGGCGCCCGGCTGCCTCGCGGACCACGCCGCGCGCGTCATTCGCGCTCTCACTCCGGCACTCACGTGAGCCTATCTTTTGTCTCTTATTCGCGAGCACGCCGCACTCCACGATTATTCTACAATAACTTTTCCGAAATACACCATGGCAGTTGCTACAGTAATAAGCGGTCAATGAATCATTTTTTATTAGTGTAATTCAGCCTAATGACTCTCATAATATGCTTTAATCAAAACTTATAAACAAAATATGGCTCATTCTGCAGCGACAAGGGTACTGCGTCGTCCATGAAGATTGAGACGCTGGTGTTCATAGTGTGCCTCGTGCGCGGTCACCCGGCTGAGACCATGCGTCCGCACGTTGCCGCTCTCATGCCCGCCGTCCTGGCCAGCGTACACGACCCCTTTTACAAGGTCACAGCTGAGGCGCTCAGGGTTCTACAGACCCTAGTCAAAGTTATGCGCCCCTTAGGTAAATAAACCTTAATTTGTATAATTGTAAATACACTCACATTTACCCACATGTATACATATTATACGGTGAAAAACATTACGACATCAATTTTGTCGTTTAAGACTCGAAACTTCCTCGAGACTGAACTAGTAACGGAGGTTTTCTAGTAATAATAATTAACTAAATTCAGGGTAACCCCAATGCTTTAATTTACAGTACATATTACATAATATTGTCTGATACGTTGTTAACGTTGGTTCGACAAGTTGTGCGTAAACAAATGCGCATTTCAGACAACGCCGACAACATTGGCGACGAGGCACAGCTGGGGGAGCCGCCCCGGGAGCTGGCGCAGTTCATCCCGGCCATGTACGAGTGCACGCTGGTGCGCCTCCGGGCCACCGACATGGACCAGGAGGTTAAAGAGCGCGCGATCGCCGCCTGTGGGCAGTTGCTGTGCCACTTCGGCGACTACTTGGAGGTGAGAGCGAAATTATTACTATAAATATTCTCTATCTGTAATCTGTATTGCTCTTCCTTTATAATATTTCTAATGACGAAGAGCGGATCGTAACCGGTAAATTTTAAATACCAGTAATGAAATATTTTGAATAGAATTATAACACTAAAAAGTTTAATTTCATTCGATAGTATCAAATTAGCTAAAGCATACAGTACGTTTTGATTTCATTATTCAAATAACGGCCACCGTTTGCTTAGACATATGTGACAGGATCGTAATAATTTAAAAACTTATTGTTAAAACCAAGATGAAGGGATTGCTACGGCCTCACAGAAGACCGGAATAAAGTGGGAATATAGCCCATATGTTTGTGTTTCTTATTGCGAGTTAACTGTGGTATAGCCACGCAGCAGCTAAGTCTGGCACGAATAGGCAGGCTCGTCCGGGTAAATACCTCACAGATAACCAGTCTGAAGTGGAAGTATGTATTATATATCTTGCTTCTGGTAAGCGTTTAATGCTGGCAACGCATTTGCCAAGTCAAGGTCAAGTGTTGTAGATGTACATGGGCGGCGGTAATCATTTGACATCAGATGAACCGTCTGCTCGCTTGCGAAATTATCACAAAAAAAAAAGAGTTGGATTAAGCGGGACATCCCACGGGATTGCGGATGTCCATGGGCGATGATAACACTTACTTTCAGGTGAGCTTGTTACTCACATATTCTGATTGAAAAAAGTTTGAAAGTATTACCCGCTTCATTTAGTTTTGCTGCTTTGTTACAGGACGAACTTCCTGTGTGTTTGCCGATACTGTTGGAACGGTTACGTAATGAGATAACACGTCTAACCACTGTGAAGGCTTTGACTAAAGTAGCCGCTTCCCCTCTCCGCATTGATCTGAAACCTATTTTGGTATGTTGGATATTATCATTATTACATCTTGGGTTATTGTTTGATATGTTTAGATAAAACTCAAATTCATTTTCAGTCTGATGCCGTCCCCATCTTAGGCTCATTTTTAAGGAAAAATCAGCGCGCCCTGAAGTTGTCGACTTTAGTTTTATTGGATACGCTGGTTCAAAACTACAGCGATGATATAAGCATTGAACTGCTTAGTAAGGTATGGTTCTTTAATTTTATAACGCTATAATTTCCTTTTACGACAACAAGGACAATTAATGTTTTGGGTTTTATTTTAGCTATTTTAGTATAAATTAATTTGCCATAAAAAAAATTCAGAAATATCATTTTAATTAATTGATTTTAAAACTAACTTACCCTATAAAACTATAGGGTAAACTTAACTAAGAATTACCCTATATTTTTATATAATATGTATATTATAGTACACTTTGCGTTCATGGGAATTGCAAAGCGAAACTTATATGTATAATGTTCATAAATTTTTTTCCGGATCTGGGTGTTTGTTTCCCAAGGAGAATTGACATCAGGCAGGAGGCCGGTCGTAAAAAACAAATCCAAAACCTCTTACAACATAATTCACATGTTGTCTCGACCCCACCTAGGTGGGATAAGGGCTCCTGTCCTTACGATGATGATGATTCGGAATCGATAGTTATGCCGAATTAAGTATATTGACAACAACTAATTATATTTACGGTGGTAGCGCCACGCAACAACTTTCGCTGTTGCACGAAAGGGCAGGTCCGTCCGGGTTAGTACCACGAACTCACAGAAGACCGGCGTGAAGTAGAAGTGTTGCATTTCTGCGTTTTGTCTGGTGAGTGAGGTAGCCGGCGCTCGTTCGCCACTTTCTCACATAAAAAAAAAACAAGTCCCAACTACCACTGCGACCAGATCTATTTTAGTCTAACAACGGGCTTATGCGCGCAGGTACTGATGGAGGTGCCCGCGCTGGTGTGCGAGTCGGACCTGCACTGCGCGCAGACGGCGCTGACGTTGGTGCGCGGCGCCTGCCTGCGATGCCCCGCCGCGCTCACGCAGGACGCGCGCAACGCGCTCACTCCCAACATCCTCGCACTCGCCAAGTCCCCCCTTCTGCAAGGTACGCACGCACGCACGCACGCACGCACGCACGCACGCACGCACGCACGCACGCGCGCATGCACGCACGCGCGCACGGAAGAACCCATGTACGTACGCGTACGCACGCCTTCACACTCGATAATCATTACCCACGAACAGCAATCACAGTACTCGAGTGATCGCTGTTGCAATGTGCACTGTTGAATTGAAGGTCCACTTGTCCGCGAATCACGGTGTTGCCTATAACCACAACTATAACTACTAGTGTAGTATACACTGGATTTTGACACTAAGTTAATAGAATAGTAATAGAGCACAAACGCGTATCGAGTATTTAGAAGTATTGACGGTACTGTTTGCAAGGCGTGTTTGGAGACGCGTTCGGCGGAATTGTGTGAGTGAGATGGATACCAGTGCCGAATGAAGGTAACTCGCAGATTAACGTCGTTTATTTACTGATCGGAACTCTTAATACTCATCGACTAGCAAACGCTTTAGAGGCAGGCATGTTTGAGTGTGATGAATGTCATACGGAACTACAATCGACCATTAACCAAGAGAGTTTTAGTTAATAAAGCAGACGAATACATATTTAAAACTAGATGGTGCCCGATACGCTTCGTTTTAAAATTGTCATAATTAGTGACCTTCAAATAAATTAGATCTATGCTTTAAAATTTTTGAGCTAAACTTTGTATGAGTGGCGGTGATGCTCCTTTAGACAATGAAAACAAGGGTGAAAAACAAGTGTGCCGTGTAAAGTAAATTAATGTACACAATTTATTAGTCTCACGAGCTGGCTAGTAGCTGAATAATAAAAAATAAACAATGCCCTCAGGCGGGGCGCTGAAGGCGATGCTGGGCGTGCTCAGTGCGCTGGTGTCGGCGGACGTGGCGGGATGCTCGCGCCGCGAGCTCTTGGCGCTGCTGGTGGCGCCGGTGCACCGCGTGCACGAGCACAACGCCTCCGCCCACCACATCAAACAGGTTCCTACCTTACTCGCACGCCTAACGGACTGATCTTAATTGACGTCACACCTTGCGAAATATTTTACAATGTATAATATTAAAATGTTGTATTCAGTTTTTATAGTGTTCTAATCTTTGTTCTTTTTTTTATATGAGAAGATGGTAAGGAAGCTGGCAATTCACCTGATCTTAAGTTGGACATTAGCAACACCCGTAGGGTTGCAGATGCGTTGCTATCATTTAATAACGTGGGCATCGGTTACCTCTCGCACCAGACGAAACGCGAAAATATAATACTTCCACTTCACGCCGGTCTACCGTGAGGTCGTGGTAGTTGCCCGGATGAGCCTGCCCATACGTGCACCAGCCGAAGCTGTTGCGCCCTACCACAATTCAAGCTTCAAATATTCACAGTACAAAAGTAATCTGAGTGTAATTAATTTCTGTAAAGTTAAAAGATGTCGAATTTTAGCGTGGTGAAGATGCCGACCGCTTATCTTAGAGACTAGAGCATCTGGACGCTTAATCTGCAGGTTCGAATCCTCGCAGGGGCGAAAGAATTTTGAGACCATTTTTATCGACAGAGACAGTTTTATCTTAAGTGCAGTGACAAGCATTAAAAATTAAAAATTGATTATTTGAAATTCACAAATAACTTAATACAAATACAACAAATAACTTAATAAAAATACAAACAAATAATTTTTATTTAAAAATGTGTACTGCTGTCAAGTTATAAGACCGCGGTCACTTGATCTAAGTAAGTTTTGAAAGGTAATGAGTGTTCTGGTGGCAGGCGTTCCACTCGTTGGCGAAGTGCGTGGCGGCCGTGGTGGTGGAGGGTGGGTCGGACGCGCTGGACGTGGTGCGCGGCTTCATGCGCGACGCGGCCCATCCCCCCTCCGACGCCCAGCACATGTTCGCGCTGCTCGCGCTCGCCGAGATCGGCCGCCGCCTGTGAGTCCATTCATTCATCGTTCACTTGTTCATTCACTCCTCTTCCTCGGTCGTTCACTCGTGACAGTGTCGTCGTAATTGTCGACGCCGCTTTTTGTCTGTCTAATGCGGCGGCCCCCCGCGATGTGTTTGATTTGCTGATTTATCTAGAGACATCGAGTAATTCAAAATGTTATAGGAGGTCGTCATAGTGGCTGACTTTATTCGCTAATTTGAATATCAGTGGCGACTACCGCTAAATATTTTTTTCCGATTTCCTGTAATGTAATTCTACATATAAATGTATCATGTTCTCACACATGATCATGCATTAATATTAAAAAAGTTTAGTGTACATTACAACTTGAATTACCCTAGGTAGGTCCACCTCATTTGGGTTAAGGGACACTTTGATTTAATACAATTATATTTATTTTTTTCAGAGATTTAAGCGGAATACCTAATCTCAAGGAGGTTCTGTTGAACTCGTTCACACCGTCATCGGAGGAGGTGAAGTCGGCAGCAAGCTACGCTCTCGGCTCTGTGGCTGTGGGCAACTTGCCCGAGTTCCTGCCTTTCATACTGGGAGAGATAGAAGCACAGCCCAAGCGGCAGTACTTATTGCTGCACTCTCTCAGAGAGGTGACTGCTCTTTCCTTGTCACTTTTGGGTATATTTTATCTAGCTTTTATCACCAACGACTAAGTCAGCGCACCATCGACAAATGAAATGACTGAGTGATGGAAACAGTTAAAGTAAAAAAAAAAAACAGGTTCAACAAGGTCCACGTCGTTTTAGTCAGAACAAATTAATTATATTTGTACTCATTGCTCAATTCGTTTTTATTTTTTTTGTTGGTTATCTCAGAACTCCTTCATTTATGAACTAATTGTAAAAAAACTTTTTGCATTGAGTTCCATTTATTCCCACGTGGTCACATAATTTCATTGTTATTGGCTATTTGGAGCTTCTCAAATTCAAAAAGAAAATCATGTATTGTGATTAAGATATTTGTCAAGTTGGTTTTGTTTTTTGTTCATAGAAATGTACTTGTTGCAGATAATTTCATGTGAATCTTGCACGCCTGAAGGTATAGAGGCGTTGAGGCCGTTCATACCCGAAATTTGGGTTCAATTATCGAAACATTGCCAATGCGCGGAGGAAGGATCTCGTAATGTTGTATGTATTATTTTGATTTCAAGTTTATTTTATACAGTTCTTTTTGTAACATGTAAAGTACATATAATGGATTTCAATTCACAATTTTAATTCTAGGTGGCTGAATGTTTGGGTAAATTATGCCTGTTAGAACCTAAAGATTTACTCCCACACTTAAAAGAATTCCTCAAGTCTCCTGAACCACTTACAAAAACGACTGCTGTTACTGCAGTCAAGTTTACCATATCAGATCAGGTAAAATTTCAATAATTTATTTATTACGAAGAACTGTGGGCTTTGCTTGACTCCAAAGAGTTACTATTGTGTTAGTTTCAATGGCTTTATCCACTTTAACACAAACTTATGTAATGAATGTTTGAAAGTATGAAAGTGTATGTTGCCTTCAGATATCATTATAGTCTCTATCGCTGAAATTTTCTGATTAATGTTATTTGAAGCCTATATGAATACTTTTTGTTTTCTTGGGTAACTATGAAGGTGTATAGCTTGTCAAGGTTGCCTTAATGTCCAGTCTTGTAGAAGTATGTATCTGTACTCGGACATATTGTTTGAGCGTGTTGATCAGTGCCCACCCACTCGCATTCTCGAAGAAGTGTAAAAAGTGAAAAGTAAAGTTACAGCTCTGTACTAAGGGTATATGTGCAAAGTACCCGCGCGATCACACGGCGGATTGGCAGATTTAACACATCTTCGAAATTTTTTTTACCAACCTCACGATGTTTTCCTTCACCGCTTGGCACGTGACGAGACAGCACTTGAAATTAACAATTCCATTGACGCCGACATCGGGATTTGAACTCGGGTTGCTCGAGTATAATGAATTAAAAGCGTGCGCCCGTACATTGGCTATCACGTAGTCAACTGAATGAAACATTTAAGTTTTCGTTACTATGTGGTAGTTGTCCTGCAGATAGCCGTCCGCCCTAATTCCCAGGTTACTCGAGTATAATGAATTAAAGCTATAGCCAATTAGAGGTATCACGTATTATAGTCAACCGAATGAACACGTTAAAGTTCTGGCTAGTGATGCCGCCTGACCGTTCCCCTCCGCAGCCGCAGGCGATCGACCCGCTGCTGCGCGCGTGCATGTCGGAGCTGCTGGTGCCGCTGCGCGACTCGGAGCTGGGCGTGCGGCGCGTGGCCTTGGTGGCGTTCAACTCGGCCGCGCACAACAAGCCCTCGCTGGTGCGCGACCTGCTGCCCGCGCTGCTGCCCACCATCTACCAGGAGACCAAGGTCAAGGTGCGCACGCCCCCACTTTAATAGTATTGTTCAATCTGCCAGGAGACCAAGGTCAAGGTGCGCACGCCCCCACTTTAATAGTATTGTTCAATCTACCAGGAGACCAAGGTCAAGGTGCGCACGCCCCCACTTTAATAGTATTGTTCAATCTACCAGGAGACCAAGGTCAAGGTGCGCACGCCCCCACTTTAATAGTATTGTTCAATCTACCAGGAGACAAAGGTCAAGGTGCGCACGCCCCCACTTTAATAGTATTGTTCAATCTGCCAGGAGACCAAGGTCAAGGTGCGCACGCCCCCACTTTAATAGTATTGTTCAATCTACCAGGAGACCAAGGTCAAGGTGCGCACGCCCCCACTTTAATAGTATTGTTCAATCTGCCAGGAGACCAAGGTCAAGGTGCGCACGCCCCCACTTTAATAGTATTGTTCAATCTACCAGGAGACCAAGGTCAAGGTGCGCACGCCCCCACTTTAATAGTATTGTTCAATCTACCAGGAGACAAAGGTCAAGGTGCGCACGCCCCCACTTTAATAGTATTGTTCAATCTACCAGGAGACCAAGGTCAAGGTGCGCACGCCCCCACTTTAATAGTATTGTTCAATCTACCAGGAGACCAAGGTCAAGGTGCGCACGCCCCCACTTTAATAGTATTGTTCAATCTGCAAGGAGACCAAGGTCAAGGTGCGCACGCCCCCACTTTAATAGTATTGTTCAATCTACCAGGAGACCAAGGTCAAGGTGCGCACGCCCCCACTTTAATAGTATTGTTCAATCTACCAGGAGACCAAGGTCAAGGTGCGCACGCCCCCACTTTAATAGTATTGTTCAATCTGCCAGGAGACCAAGGTCAAGGCGCGCACGCCCCCACTTTAATAGTATTGTTCAATCTACCAGGAGGCCAAGGTCAAGGTGCGCACGCCCCCACTTTAATAGTATTGTTCAATCTACCAGGAGACAAAGGTCAAGGTGCGCACGCCCCCACTTTAATAGTATTGTTCAATCTACCAGGAGACCAAGGTCAAGGTGCGCACGCCCCCACTTTAATAGTATTGTTCAATCTACCAGGAGACCAAGGTCAAGGTGCGCACGCCCCCACTTTAATAGTATTGTTCAATCTACCAGGAGACCAAGGTCAAGGTGCGCACGCCCCCACTTTAATAGTATTGTTCAATCTGCCAGGAGACCAAGGTCAAGGTGCGCACGCCCCCACTTTAATAGTTTTGTTCAATCTACCAGGAGACCAAGGTCAAGGTGCGCACGCCCCCACTTTAATAGTATTGTTCAATCTGCCAGGAGACCAAGGTCAAGGCGCGCACGCCCCCACTTTAATAGTATTGTTCAATCTACCAGGAGGCCAAGGTCAAGGTGCGCACGCCCCCACTTTAATAGTATTGTTCAATCTACCAGGAGACAAAGGTCAAGGTGCGCACGCCCCCACTTTAATAGTATTGTTCAATCTACCAGGAGACCAAGGTCAAGGTGCGCACGCCCCCACTTTAATAGTATTGTTCAATCTACCAGGAGACCAAGGTCAAGGTGCGCACGCCCCCACTTTAATAGTATTGTTCAATCTGCCAGGAGACCAAGGTCAAGGTGCGCACGCCCCCACTTTAATAGTATTGTTCAATCTACCAGGAGACCAAGGTCAAGGTGCGCACGCCCCCACTTTAATAGTTTTGTTCAATCTGCCAGGAGACCAAGGTCAAGGTGCGCACGCCCCCACTTTAATAGTATTGTTCAATCTGCCAGGAGACCAAGGTCAAGGCGCGCACGCCCCCACTTTAATAGTATTGTTCAATCTACCAGGAGACCAAGGTCAAGGTGCGCACGCCCCCACTTTAATAGTATTGTTCAATCTACCAGGAGACCGAGGTCAAGGTCTTAATTATTACTTGAATAGTATTATTTTATTCTTCACTGTTGCACCTTGTATAGTAGGCCGCCTTGATGCCTAATGCCAAGTAGATACCAGGTTAACTGAATAATGGAAATAGTAATAAATTTATTCAGAAGTCAATATTTATAGACAAAATCATGTTCATGTCATCATCTCTAGAATAATATCTGACATTAAATTTATATTATCAACGTTTGGTAGGTTGAAGATAATGTTTAAATGTTTATTTCAAGAAAGAAATATTTTATCTACTACATGTAAACATGGCAAATTCAGTCGTAACAAAAATGCTTTTTTTTATGTGAAAAGTTGGCAAACGAGCAGACGGTTCACCAGATGGTAAGTGAATACCGCCGCCCATGGACATCTGCTACACCCGAGGGTTGCAGATGCGTTGACAACCTTTTAAAAATTGGGCTCCGGCTACCTCACTCACCAGATGAAACGCGAAAGTATTTGTCATACTTCCACTTTACGCTGGTCTTCTGTGAGGTCGTGGTACTTACCCGGACGGGCCTGCCCATTCGTGCAACAGCCGAGGCTGCTGCGTGGCCCTACCACCGTTGCGTGGCCCTACCACCGTTAAACCGTTGTTTTATTAACCCGTCGAAATGTTATCATACGACACGAGTTTATCTACTCATAATTTAACTAGCTGACACGGCAAACGTTTTGCCATATAAACGATTTCTAGTAAATTTGTAGGGTACAAAAAAATGTTTGGGGTGGACCACCCTTATCACACAAGGGTATGAGAAATAGATTACGACCGTTTCTCAGACCTATCAAATACACATAAAATGTCATAAAATTCGATGAAGTCGCTTTGGAGGAGTATGGCAACTCACATTGCGACACAAGAATTTTATATAACATATAGACAAAGCTCGAATAACCGTTCCGAATACGAATTGACCGCGATGGATACTTTGCAGAAGGAGCTGATCCGCGAGGTGGAAATGGGTCCGTTCAAGCACTCGGTGGACGACGGGCTGGACCTGAGGAAGGCGGCGTTCGAGTGCATGTACACGCTGCTCGGCACCTGCCTCGACCGGCTCGACGTGTTCGAGTTCCTGCGCCACGTGGAGGACGGCCTCAGGGACCACTACGACATCAAGATGCTCACCTACCTCATGTGCGCGCGCCTGGCGCAGCTCTGCCCCACCGTCGTGCTGCAGAGTGAGTGACGCCCGCGCTAGATGTTGCAACGTTTTTTACGTCTCTGTCCGTCCGTCTGTCCGTCTGTCGCCAGGCTGTATCTGGTGAACCGTCGTAGTTAGACGGTTGAAATTTTCACAGATGATGTGTTTCTGTTGCCGCTATAACAACAAACACTAAAAAGCAGAATAAACGTCCCTCTGTCCGTCTGTCACCAGGCTATCTCATGAACCGTGATAGTTAGACTGTTGAAATTTGCACAGATGATGTATTTCTGTTGCCGCTATAACAACAAATACTAAAAAGCAGAATAAAAAAATGTTTAAGTGGGGCTCTCATAAAACAGACACCTACCACATTTTTTAATGTGTTAGAATACTGATTTCATTCTTATTCTAAATATGTATGAAGTACCAGAATTGACGATGTTGAAATAAATTTTCACACATGAATTTTTGTATAAAATTTTTTTGTCGACCCAAGTCGAATCGAAAACTTAACAATTAATACTATCAAGAAAATTTTGACTACATACCGTACTAGTAACAAATATACATCATACTTGATACGATATAAAATGGTCAATATGGTACATTGTTTTGATCCTGTTTCTATTTATGATCAGGATTAGAGAGCCTGGTGGAGCCTTTGCGTGCTACTTGCACGATGAAAGTGAAGGCGAACTCCGTCAAGCAGGAGTACGAGAAGCAGGATGAGTTGAAGCGATCCGCTCTGCGCGCAGCCGCCGCCCTGTTGCAGATCCCAGAGGCCGGTGCGTATAACTCTCGTTCAGATATCATTCAGACATAGGATAAAACATCGTGCCTTAAAGAGGCGATTAACTTCAACATTTTTAGTTGGAACTCTTAAAATTGTTTTTAAACTCGTTTTTCGACGGTGAGGTCTTTTTTTTTAATTATTGAACCCTGAAGGGTAGGAGTTGTTTGAGACAGTTGCTGTTTTATTAAGGCGAATAACATCAAGCAACATTTTTTTTGTACATTATATTATGCAAATTTTATATCGAAACGATCCGCGGCGCCTTAGACGTATGTTGTATAAATGTCTAAATGAGGTGATTGTGTGTGCGTTTGCGAGATTTATGTACTATAATAATATTGGAAAATTATTTAATAGCGGGTAAAATTGTATGCATTTAACAACATTGTCCGTAAATTATTGTAACGATTAAGTCCTGTTATGTATTCAGAAATGGACTGTGTATCCATTTTTTAATAATATTTCTTACACAGCTCGTTTATTTACTAATGTGTAAATTCTCTTTCTTTTACGCAGATAAAAATCCGCATTTAATGGACTTCGTGACGCAAATCAAATCGTTGCCGGACTTGCAGCCAATCTTCGAGTCCATACTGAAGGATTCTTCGGGCGGGGCCGTCGACACCAATCTCATGGATCAGAGCTAGCCGCCTCGCCTCTAGATACAGTCCTCGTAATGTTCGAAAAAAATACTGTTTTGTTTTCTTCTTTGTTTTGGTTCATCAAAAATAAACTTCACCTAATCTTATTGTAAAAATGATTGATAAATTGCCCGCTAATTTGATTAACCTCATTTTTATTATTGCAGGAGTTCATGCACACTGATTGTGGTATTAGGTAGAGTAGTAAAATTTTTTATGAAAATATTATTAGTCTTAATACACATGTCAGGTTCCTTTGATCAATAATAACCTTTTTGAACAGATTTTTTTTAAAACGTGGTCTCTTGGCTTCACTTTGTAATATTTTTAACGTAGGAAAAAGGGAAAGACCTTTCATTTGATTTTTTTTATTAGAAATTTACAAGAACATGACTAAAAACAGTAATTATTGATATACACGCCATGAAAACGTTCTTGTCTTATGAATAAAGGAGGCAAGACATCTCAAGGATTCACATACACATACGTCAATATATAAATATATAGGGGCTTACTGGGCTAATACTAAATGTAAAAGATCACTAAACATGTTTTTCGGAACATTCATAACGAGGAATAGTTTTATGTATCCAGCCAGAGTAGCTGTAGAATTGTTAGGATATTTTTTATTTATACTAAAAAAATTGCATTATGCCATTTATATTAAAAGAAATTAAGTCACCGTGCATAAGTTACTTTACTATTGATACTCGTAGTTGATAACTTTTCGATTAATGTGGAGTTACGAAATAACTATAACTGATATGTATTGTGATATTACACGCTATGTGGAAAAATCATAAGGGACTTTATAAAATACAATAAAATAAAGTGAAAATGTTGTCGCTCATTTCCCTTTCCTCTTCGTGCCTGGAGTTGTGCTAGTAGCTCTCGGTCCTCGCGTGTCGTTCTGTCAAACAATAAATAAATATCTACTATATCATATTATAGAGTATTTATCTTTATATCAGTGTGAAACAAACTATCAAAAGACTGGAGAGTAAAAAATAGATAATATTCGATAACGAAAGTACAAGAGCGGTTTATCATCAAATCTTATGGACAAGCTTTTTTTAAATCCTTCACTTATTAACAAATTATTTTGAATTTAACATCCCACTACTAAATAAACGCATTGAATACTATATAAATGCTGTTTGACGTCCCAAAAGCTGGTTTTTTTATCATGGAAGTAATCTCGGATCGAGTGCGCTGGGACGAACTGTTCAGACGCGACTGTGTCAATTAAATTCGATCTGGATGGACTCTAGTGGGACTTTGTTTTATACGGTCAGCCAACAGTGTGGAATCAATATGAAAATTTCGGAGTTGACTTCTGTAGAATCTAGCTCGTATGAGAGCTAGGCCCAAGAGATTTTCTCTATAAGTGATAAAGTGAAAATTAGGCTTCGGCGTGATCAGTGTCAGTTTAATCGACCTGTAAGAAATTATTCGGAAAACCATTTTCACTAGTCATAATGGAAAGCATTCGGGGTGTAGGAGAAGGTAAAGGTTAATAAGGAGTTATCTAGCCCCCCGGGATATATACTGCAGTCGACTAACGGCCAGTTTCAATATTCAATCTACAGATGGATTTCGTTACTAGCGATGGGTATTTGACATAGCTCCATAAAAGTTACGTCAAAATTCTGTCTCCAGTTACCAAATCTACCAATAGATAGAATATTGAAACCGGCGGTTAGTTTCGATCAAAATGTGAATGCATATCGTGAACTAATTGAAGCTAGCTATATTTTATTTTGGCTTTAAGTCAGAAACGTTATTAGAGCATCATTAAGTTTTCTTTACCGGCTTAGCGGGAGAGGCGCGTGGCAGAGTGGTGGAACTGGCGTTTCGCAGGATCGGTTTGGTGGTGCTCGTCGTACTTGCCGCGGAACTTGCGCGATCTGGACTCTGTTCCTTACTGTTGAGACGAGTTTACGTTAGTTATGTATAATCTGTCTAAAACTCATCGTTTTTTGGGTATTTGGGATGAATCTTCGAAAGACATTTGGTGTTATGTAAACAGGTAGAAAATTATTTAATCTAATGTTATTCTACAATCTACACATTATTATTGAGTAATTTTTTTGTCGCCGAGGTGCTTTAGAATGAGCTATCTCTTTTAAAATACATCGACATCACTAAAATATCCCTGAGAAGATGACACCACTAGCGCTCCGCCCTGTGCAGTTTCCGTGGTAGGTAGGTATATACCTACCACTGAAACTACATTTTTGTAAAATTATAAGAATTAATCTTAAATTGCTGTGAAGCGGAAAGTCCTTCTTAGTGTTTAGTTATTAACACACAACAAAAAAAAATTGTCCCGATGGACTCCTGCTTTTCTCGTAGATTGAGGGTATGTCTATGTTATAAACCGCGGTTATGACAAAACACGCGTTGAAGTAAATACGACCGCAAGCAGTAAATCATTGACAAGTTCTTCGATCCATAAAATAACATCTAACAATTACATATACACATTACAAGTTATAAAGATTACTCTTCAAGTAATTACCTGTTAGCGCGGGATACTTGTCCTTTTCTACTGAACATGTCTGAAATTCGGCCTCGTAAATCTCGTTTGCTTCCTGTGGCACTCATATCGGAATCGGAACCCTACAAATCATGGCCGAATATATAATATCGTTATTTTAGTCGTATAAACGATATAACGGTATGATGGTATCATGGTATTTGTTTAGTATGAAATCTCTTAAAGACGTTTAAGGTTTATGTTAACGTGGAAATGGAACTTGTACATCGATTTTTTATACGAGATATAAAGGAATCAGTCAAGAAAGTTAAGTCACGAACTTAAAAATATGTTAAAAGAAATAAAATTTAAAATTAGCTTTGTTTCCTAGTGCTCGATTTAATTCTATGCTTGAGCAATTCAAACCTTGATGATGGAACCAATAAATCAACTACATTTTGAACTGCTGGTATACCACCACGAGAAAAAGTAGCTGAGGACTGCCATCTAAGAAAAAATCAAATATTAGTATTGATTAGCCCGTATGTATTATATAACCTGTGAAACAGTGCTTATCGGTCTAAAATCCGCGCTCTCTACGTGATCGTCCACAGAGCGTGATTTTGTAAGTTTCTTGAGTTTGCCAAAAATGCTCTTCTTTTTTTTCTTTTCTGTTGGTAACACATCGCTCTGCGTTGATCCGCCTGATAAACGGCTGCAATACAATAAGAAATTTTAATGACAGTAAAGTTATATTAGATAAAAAAAAGTATTAATATGGCAAAGATTAGATATACTCTAAAAAACATTGATTATTGCAACGATAATTAGAATATTTTTACCTGTCGAGACTTGAATCCCGCGGCATAGTAAAGAGGCGTGAGTCAGGATCACCATCTAACGATTGCATAGATGACACGCTACCTTCGTCTACTGACATCCATATTAAGCTCTGTAAAATATTAATATTATGTCAATATGAATTAAATTTTAATGTACAACAAAAAAAAAACTGACCTAAAATAATTTTTAACCGACTACATTAGTATAATATGTTCTTTTCGATGTATTGAAATTAAATCTATGAAAGGGTTAACCTACTTGATCTTTTGTGGTCTGTTCAAGAGACACAGAACGTTTCTTGAGGGATGGTGCTCGCGAAGGTGTACGGCTTGCTGGAGTCACTGACATGGAGTCTCGCGGCTCTGCAGTCATGCCCCTATAAACAGGATACTTTACATTGTAAAGACTGAGTTACGGAGTTATTCAAGTATTAAGGAGTGTCCTTAAATATGAGTTTGAGTATAATTGTGAATAACATCTTGAAATAGTAAAAAAAGAAAAGTAACAGCCTATATATGTCTCACTGCTGGGCAAGGGCCTCCTCTCTAAAGAGGGTATAAGGGCATAGTCCACCACGCGACCCCACTGCAGATTGGCGAACTTCACATATCTTCGAAATATTTTTTGTTATTAATTCAGTACTTAAAATTAACAATTTCATTGGAGCCGGCACTGGGGATGGAACTCAGGTTGCTTGAGTACATTTAATAAAATGCGAGCGCCCGCACAATGTGCTATCACAGCACATCGTCAGAGATAAAAATTCGGGTCCTATCACACTATAGGTTTCAACAAAGTAGTTTCACTGAGCAAGTTTTTTTTTAAATTTTCGAATAAACTGAAATTCGGATCAACTGTTAGTGCATCATAAAAAGGTTTTTGTGTACACGCCATGGCGTTCAAAGCAATTTCCTATAGAACATTATGCAAACGATGCAGTCATATTACATGTTAGGCCAGGAAAGCATCATGCGGTTTAAGCGTCATGCCTTAAATATCTGTTAAATGGCCTGTAAACTAATCTAATCAGTATTTGAAATTCTCTACGCAGTCATATTACACACGAGGCCCAGTTTAAGCGCATGCGTTTAGTCAAGTTAAAGCGTCATGCGTTAAATCTCTATTAAACGGCCAGTAATCTCATCTAATTAGTATTTAATCATCTCCACGCTGTCATTACATGCGAGACCCAGTTTAAGCGTCATGCGTTAAATCTCTATTAAATGGGCTGTAATCTAGTCCAATCGCTATTTGATCGTCTCCACGCAGTCATATTACACGCGAGGCCCAGTTTAAGCGTCATGCGTTAAATCTCTATTAAATGGGCTGTAATCTAGTCTAATCGCTATTTGATCGTCTCCACGCAGTCATATTACACGCAAGGCCCAGTTTAAGCGTCATGCGTTAAATCTCTATTAAATGGGCTGTAATGTAATCGCAATTCGATCGTCTCCACGCAGTCATATTACACGCGCGGCCCAGTTTAAGCGTCATCCGTCGTTCACATACCGTCGCGCGCCGGCGGTCTGCTGGCGGCGCGTGCGCTCGGCGATGCGCGAGGCGCGCAGCTCGTCGGTGAGGCGTCGCAGGCGCGCGGCGGTCGCGGCCGCGCCCCCCGCCGCGCCCTCCGCGCTCTCCGGCGTCGCGGACCGCGACCGCGACTTGGACGACTGCGGCACACGCGCGGATTGGATTGCCTTCTTAGAGTTCCGTACCCGAAGGGTGTCTGTTCGTCCGTCTGTCTGTCTGTCCGTCTGTCACCAGACTGCATCTCATGATGCGTTATAGTTAGACAGTTAGAATTTTAACAGATGATGATGATGAATAACGGAATGAAAAAGCGTTTAAGTGGGGCTCCGTTTTAATAAAAACGGGACCCTATTACTAAAACTCCGCTGTCTGTTTGTCTATCTGTCTGTCACCAGGCTGTATCTCATGAACCGTTATAGTTAAACAGTTGAAATTTTCACAGATGCCGCTATAACAACAAATACTAAAAAGCACAATAAAAAATATTTCAGTGGGGCTCCCATACAACAGACATGATTGTTTTCCGTTTATATAGATAATGGTAAGGAACCGTTCGTGCGCGAGTCCGACTTGCACTTGTTTATTTCGGTAGGAAGTGGACTCGTGCCGAGAGACGGTGAGCGGATAAAAGAGGGTTGGGCTTTCCACAAGACGTGCGCGGGACACAGGCGGATTTCCTCTTCTTCGGTAGGGTCAGCGAAAGGAAGTTGGCTCGTGCCAAAAGACAGAGGGCGAATAAGAGAGAGGGTTTAGCTTTCACCGAGGCGTGATTATGCACAGAGGGGCACCGGTGCGTTCCGCAGATAGGTTCTCGGAGCTCCTCCAAACGCTCTGAAGATCATCGAGTGGGTTTTAGGTTTCATGAACATAACCAATAACCGTGTCTTCCTCCAGATGACGGAGAACCTTTTGAAGATTTCTCCCCGATTCCAAGAAAGGATATCTCACCAAAATAGAAATTAACATAATTAGATTTTATATTTGGCACATAATTTAACATGTAAATTACGCCGGTTTATTTCAATTTTACATAACTCTTTGTCTTACCCTGTTGCGCCTTGGTGGTGTTGGTGTCATAAGACTCTTTTCTGGCTTCACTGATGGTTCGTTGCGGAACAAATCAGGACTTTGTTTCATCAGGTCGTCTATAGTCTCCAGTAGTTGATTGATAACTCTGTCATCTTCCTGTTATGGCATCAAGTTTTTGCAATCAAGTTTTTTAAACAGAAATAGTTGTGTAAAATTATCCATCAAGTTCCTACTCTAAATAATAAAATAATAATTTTAATAAGATTTTGAATCTTTAAAAGTATTTGCAAGATTAAGAGTTGGTAACTTTCGTCCAGGGTAAGGACGTCAAAGAAAACGTGTTTATTTTTTTATGTTATAAAGTGGAAAACGAGCTAGCGGTTCTCCTGATGTTAAATGATAACCGCCGCCCATGGACAAATGTGTTGCCACCTCTAAATAAAGTGGGCCCCGGCTACCTCACTCACCAGACGAAACGCAGAAGCGTAACACCTTTACTTTACGCCGGTCTTCCGCGAGCTCGTGGTACTGACCCGGCCGGAGCTGCCCATTCGCAACACTGTTGCGTGGCCCTACCACCGTTTGCGACAACGCTATAGAACGCGGCGCGGTGCGGCTCACCTGCTGGGCGCGCTTGAGCGAGGCGACCAGCAGCCTGTTCTGGTCGCGGTCGCGGTCGTGGCGCTCCTTGTCGCGGCGGAGCTTCTCGTTGGCGGTGCGCAGCTTGGCGTGCGCGTCGCGAAGCTCGAGCAGGTCGCACTGCAGCTCCGTCACCTTTTTAATGTCAGTGATTATTCAAATGATAACGCGCCCTGGGAACGAAGTGATCGCTCCAGGCTCTTTCAAGATGATTTCAATGCGTTTGTAAACATGTTATTTCTTTAATGGTAAAAAAAGTGCCGCCGAGTTTCTTTCGCCGGTTCTTCTCAGGTCAGTGGATTTTCGGTGGTAGCGTCTTGACAATCAATAAAAAGTAAGTGTAATGCTTGTATATTGAATAAACTTATTGTATTTGTTTTGATTTGACGTTTTCACGAACACATTAACGTTACCGCTACGTTAACCTTTCACGTTTTTACAAGCAGAACGGTTAAATTTTCATTCCTATAAATAGTTCGTCACCTTTGACGTTTTCAAGAACACATTAACGGTACCGCTACGTTAACCTTTGACGTTTTTATAAGCAGAACGGTTAATGGTACGTTAAATTTCATTCCTTTAAATAGTTCATGTTTTCACCTTTCATGTTTTCACGTACAGATTAATATTACTGCTAAGTTTAATTATTGTAACTCGCTGAAATAGTTTACCACCTTTAACGTTTTCACGAACAGATTAACTTTATTGTTAAGTTAAATTCTTATTCTTTTAAATAGTTCGTCACCTTTAACGTTTTCACGATATGATTAACGGCACTGAAGTTGATTTGTTACTATATTATGTTAATTAATTGTTGTAATAGCTTTGACGTTTTCCCGAGAGGCACGGTTAAGGCTAAGTTAGATTGTATATCTTTTAAATAGTTCAACTTTGACACTTTCACGAGCAATACTTAGGTTTAAAGGTTTTTTAAAAAAAAAATTAATGTTGCTCTTTCAAACAGTTCGTCACTGTTCACGTTTATGTTATTAGCTGAATTTGAATGTTACGGTATTTTACTCGATTTAAGCCCTTTCTTCAGTTCAACTTGATGTTTCTGTAGAATAATATTAGCCTGTGTTATTAAAGCGTATTATAAGCTCAGATTAAAGTTGAACACACCACACCCAGATTCAAGAAAATTATTTGGAGGTTAAGTAAATTTTAATTTTGAGTGAGAATCGACTTTTGATGGCAATGCCAAGTAGATATTGTCATCTATTTGAACTCGGGTTATGATATGTGATGATGATTTAACCTATTTTCAATTTATTCCTCTGTGAAATGATAATATGTCTGGTAAAAGAATGTCTATTACAAAGAAATTAATTATGAATAAAGCTGAATGAAATAGTTAATTAACATAAATAGTTAATTAACAGTGAAACTGTTATTTAATATTTTATTTACATTGTTTATTACAACATCAATAGAACTAAAAATTACTAGCAATGCATGTTACGAGTTCTTTAGCAATTTTAGATTTTCTTCTGGTTGTAGAAAAATTCAATCGCATATTTTTTTAACGCGCAAATCTTACAAAGTAAGATTTCAAAATAAAAAGAAGTACAACTTTATAATAAATTATTAATACCTTTTTCTTGGCCTCTTCGATCTCCTCTTCTGTCGTTCGCTTTAGCTGTTCTATCCGACGCTTCATATCCAACCTTTCCTTGTCTCTTTCTCGTTCCACCTGCAATGGGGATTTCGATTAAAACTGGCTAAAGTAGGTTCGTGTGAAAGAGTCACTGAGCTTCTGATATTACATGTCTGGTCTCGACGGTGGAAGCTCAACAGCCTGACAAAAGGCCAATGTGACAGGTATACGTGCACAGGACCACTCTTTACGCGCTTGTGAAAGTTTATGAATGGTTCTGATCAATCACCATCGAGTAAACAGTTTGTCCGCTAGTGAATAATTTAACCAGGCCAACGCGCTTACAACACACTTGCGTGTGATCTCACAACCACCACTGTTGCCGCTGTTGCCATTCACTACCAACCGAGGGAGCTGCTCCGTTTTGCCACGTCCCGTAAAAGGAAACAGTTGCAGATTACCTCGAAGAGCGTCTGTCGCAAGTCCCTCGCCAGCGTCGACGTCTCTTGCAACAGCCGTTGCTGCTCATCGCGCTCTTTGTGCCACGCCAGCTCCATTCGCGTCGCGAGCCCGGCAACACGCGCCCGCCCTGACGACATCAGACGCTCCTCCTCGTACTGTTTACAAAAACAGCGTAATAACCAATTGCTCGCACTTCGAAACGAGACACGATTCCCTGTCAAATGTGTGATTAATGTGTGATAAATGATAAGAAAATCATTGTTGACCATAATTGTGACATACAAGAATAATGTGTAATATTTCACGTTGATTGGTATTTACTAAATAAATACCGGATTCTGTTGTCTTTTACAAGAACTAATTTTTAGAAATATGATTTTATAAAAATGTTATGGATGGAAATATTTAATTTTTTTATGCGCTATTCACCATCAAGAACAGTCAATGTCATGATGAAAAATATAGTTGCAAATTAATGGAGGCTTACTTCGTTCAAACGCGACTGCATCTCGGCCAGTCTAACTTCGGCTTGTGACCGCTCACTGACCAGCTCGGTATTGAGTTTTGAAGACAGCAGCCGTGCCTCGCACAGTTCATCTTCAAGACACGCCATTTGCTGTTCCAAAACAGCGACTTTGTTTCGATACTCCTCCTGTAAATTATAATATTTATTTTTAACGGTTATAAAAACATTACGATTGAATTTTATAATTGCAATTTACTAACCTCGTCGGTGCTTGATATAGACGCTCGGTGTGGTCTCTTTTCGCCACTTTTCAATTCGTCCATTGTTTTTTGGGCTGCTTCCAACATTTGTTTGTAATTATCACGTTCCCTTCTAAATCTAGACACCTGTTGATAAAAAAACAATTTTGTTCTTACTAATGGAGATAAGACTGTAACTTCATTCCAGCCATCTTAATAGTCCAACAAAACAACAACACAAAACTTACATATAAATTTGTTGAAGTCAAGCAGATTAGAATCGAGACTTTCGTGTAATAAGAATGAAGGGCGAGATAAAGAATTGAAGGCAGTGGTGACCTAGTGCTTCTAGACGCACGCAGTAACTTTTGCTTTTGGAATAAAAGCCAGGCCCGTCCGGGGGAATACAAAGGTGTTACAGAAGACCTGTAGGAAGTGTAACTTTAATACTTTTGCGTTTCGGCCGGAGAGTGGGCGCCAATGAGATTAGGCCAAACAGGAGGTAGATATGACACTAGCGCACCGTAACTAAGGCACTCAAATTACGCAAATTGGTGTAATTACAATTCCATAGGCTGTTATCTCTCTCCGTATCATACGTTCTATGTCATCCGTCACATACACTTATGTATGTCATATAATGTAAAGCGGAACAATTTCAAACGCCGCGCAGTATGAACATGCGTCATCTTTATTAAAACACCAATGCTGGGGTCGCTGTCACGACAGTAGTTAATAGTTGGAAAGTTAGTAGTTGGCAAAGCATCTGCAAAACTGTTAGCCTAACCCGTCAGGATTAAAAGTCTTAAGCTTGTTTTTATTTAAAATCAAGAAACCTGAAACGTGACACGGTATAATAGTGAGAGTTTATTGAAAACAATCGAACCGTAACATAAAAAAAACATTAAACAGATAACATAAAAGTAAGGGTCGAATGACCGTTTATGAATAATCCAAGTCGTATGATTGAATTGTTAATAAAACCGTTAAAACTTTAAAGTTAAACGGTTTTATTTTATGTGCACTGAAAACTACAATATTGTATTGTCATCTAAATTAAATGTGTGTACCAAATTTCAGATCAATCTGACAACGGGAAGGTGCTTAAATTTTAATTTCTAATTTTGACCCAAATAAACAAACAAATTCCGTACGGGTCGAGCTAAATAAAACCGTTTAAAAATAGCTTCCTTACAATCATAATTATAGTCCTTGGAAGCAGTTAAGACAGATTCGAACGATATATTTTTTGTTACCTGATTATGTAGAGATTTTAATTCCTCTCGCATGGTGTTCATTTGTCCTTCATATCTCATTTTTGTGTCAGCTAATTCTGATTTCCTCGCTTTATCTGCCTGCTCCAATCTGGTATTCAATGCGGTCAATTCGCGTTCTAATTCTACGTTGTCTGCCGATAAATTCCTGTGGATTTTGCTAACTTTCTCGTAGTCCTCTAGTTTCTTACGGGCTTCATCTAACTGTAATATGGGAGAAAACGGTTCTTTATAATAAATAACTCACTGATGATAAATAATTTCTTTAACTGACACCGTGGCAGCGCAAAAAACATTTGGCGAAAAAGTTGTTTGTGTTATTTTGGAAAATTTTATTTGTTTTACCTGTTTTATTCGAGCCTGGATTGTTATGACGAAGATTTTTAAAGATTTTGAAAAAAATGATCATGGCTCTGGTGAGTAAAACTCGCGAAATAGCAAAATAAAATAAAGGCGCATACGCTAGGCTAAACGTGTGAGCGTATGCATTAAAATACCATGCGATAAAGTTTTCATATTTCGATCGATACAAAATCGAAAGACTTAAACGCGAAATAAAAAGACACCCAACACGCTTGTTACCGACTGAAATCTCTAGATAAAAAAAATATATTATTATTGTTTTATTTCATTTATCTTTCATTATTTTTATTCAAAACAACCATGCCAACAATGCCACTGTTATAGTTGGTACTGGTATATAATAATTAGTTAACCTCTTTTTTAGTGAGGTCATGATGATGGGAGAGTACATCACGTTGGTCGTGCGCGTCGCGAAGTTCGCGCTCGCGCTGTTCCAAGCGGGCGTTGAGTCGTGCTTTTTCAACTTCCCATCCACCACCGCACAATCTTTCTTGCAGTGATGATATCTCGTTCTAAGAAAGAAAATGATGAAAAAAATAATGTAAGTATAACTTCGTTAGCGGGAAGAAAAGAAAAATAATTAATAATTTTATGAGTAGTGACACATCAGTATTTTTTATTTGTGAAAAATACATTAAATGCAATTGATAACGGTTTAATTGACTCGGAATTACAGGTAAATGTCAAAAAGTTGTTATTGGTGGCAATGACAATACCGGGAAGTTGATCAAAGTTGTTCGCTTTTCCAACTTCATCATGTTGGTGTCGGTAAAAATTTTACTCTCATATTTTTTTCGAAAGGCTCCAAAAGAAGTATTTTATATAGTATTACTTTTAAAATGTTACTCGTTTCGATATGCGAAAAAACAACCTTTTTTATTACGGGTCTGCCTATTGCTTGACTGCTGTCCTAATTGATGGTGAATGTAGATAAAGGTAAACGCACTAGTTCGGTAAAAGCCTATTCACTCTTGCCTAGAAGAAACCCATATTTTATTAAGACAACAAAACAGACGCTGGCCAATTCTGCCATTCCTTTGCTAGATGCAAAATAAATGATAAAGTAAAGCGCTTAGTACTCGGAGTACTCGAACCAACAATGGAGCTTGAAATGACAACAACGAAAGAATAGAACGTGAAGTTATGCTATTCATACGTCAAAGTTAATAGTTTAGTTATAGTAGAACATGCTTTGGTGGCATCTAACTTCATTTTTATGCCTTTAACTTGCGAAATAAACCAGAAATATTTGTTATTCCTAATTTACACCTTGTTAGAATATAGTAATTTACCTGTAATTCAGATTTTTCCTTATTTAAAATTGTAGTTTGTGTTTCCAGTTTTTCTTGGAGCATCTTTAGTTCCGATAGTGCAGAATTTAATTCTTTTCGTACATGTATCAGTTCACTGTAATTAAAATAAAATTTACAACCATTTGTATATTATTATATTCATTGTGTATGCTTTTTTCAAGTGAGCTTTTTTCTAACAAGGATTCGAATTATTTATTGTTGATCTCTAAAATATTAGATTAAATTTCACACATAAATAAATGTACATTACGTATTATTACGTAAATATGTAAATAAATAAAAACAACATAAAACATAACGTAAGAGTGAAAGACAGCCGTTGTGTATTTTCGTAGTAGAAAATTAATAAATAGTTTTCAAAATACAAATGAACGTACCCTTGCGCTTGTTCTTTCTCAACAGTAAGTCGCGCTTTGGTTACTACGTGTTCTTCTTCTAGTAATTCATATTTACCCGTTAATTCTTCGTATTCTGCTTTTTCTACAGCCAGCGAATGCTCCAGTTCTAGAAACAAAAGTTGAGTTAGAATTTCACATAACTTTTTCTTTAATTTATCAATAATTTTTTTTATAATTTTCGCCACTTTCACAGACTTTTGATGTTTTCTTCATATTCTTGTTTCAGATCAGTTAATTTCTTTGCTCCTGTTCCGAAATTCTGTTCCAATATTTTTACTTTGCCTTTAAGAGTAGCTAATTCAGCTTCTTTATTCTTGATATCTTTGTCATGAGCAATTCTTATCCGATCTATTTTTTTCCGCTCAACCTAAAGATATTAAAAATATTTAATATTTTTTAAATATTTAAATGAACCTCTGTGTAAATTCTGTATAATTGCGCACCTGTAAATCACTTTCAAGATCAGATGTTTTCTTCTCCCAATAATTAGACTCTTTTTTTTCCGCTTGAAGTTTATTTTCCAGCTCTTTTCTTTCAATTTCAAATTTATTTATTTGAAGTTTCAGCCGAGATATTTCTTCTTGTATATCAGAATTATCTTTTTCCACTTTATTTAACTTTTGTTTAGTATTTGTTAATTCTTGTTCTTTGTCTTGAATTTCTTTGTTTAAGTTATCATATTTCTCTTTAAGTTCTAAAAGTTCTGTCGACGAAACTGGATGGTCATTATTCTGATTAGTTGTTTCCCCTATTGTATCCTCCTGAAATTTTTAACATCACGTAAGTATTGTTCTTTTTAAGGTACAAGGTAAGGGAACTGGTAATTTTGATGCTATGCAAAGTGGTTAATAGTCTACATCTAATAAAGCCATGGTTTATTTAGAGGGATATATGGATTTCCATTGCTTTTCGTACTGGGATGTAAAAGAAAATATTGGGTCCCATGCGTTTGAAAGCCATATATGTACTACCAGTTGTTTTATGTGGGTATCTTTCGCAACTATAGTAGATTCCAGATCTAAAATCTTATTTTCATATTCAGACTTTAAATCCTTTATATCTGTTTCCAAATTAATCAGTTTACTTTCAGATTTGATTAATTTTGTTTGTAGTTCATCCTTTTCACTGGTGAACTCAATTGATGATCGTCTATGAGAATTAATAAGAGCTTCTGCTTGCTGTTTCTCTTCGGTGAGCTTGTTAGGTTAAGAAAAGGACAATTATTTTAAAGAAATTATATAAATTATTTTCTATATAAATATATAGTATACATATTATACATATTCATTAAACGTAAAGTAAAGTAACATTCTATACATATCCCACTGGGCAAAGGCCTCCTCTTTACTGAGGGTATCAGGTATCATAGTCCACCACGTGGTCCCACTGCGAATTGGTTGAGTTCACATACCTGTTTTCCTTCACCGCAGAGAACGTGATAAATGAGCATATAAAATCAACAATTTCATTGGTGTTGGCACCGAGGATCGACTCAGGTTGCTCAAGTATATTGAATTTAAGGCGAGCACCCGGAAACTGAACTATCACGGCTCGTAATCGTAATGTATAAATAATTTATACATTAAAATATCATATAAGGTAAAATACTTTGAATTATTATAACTCATATGCATTAGTTCAAGATGTGTAAGTTTAAGAAATAAAAATATTGCATACTAATGTGCGTTACAATCAAAATTACAATGAAAATATGTACAAAAGGCTTCTTTTGCTTAACTGTAAGCTTTCTTATTTATCTTTAATAATAATATCCATAATTATCTATATAAGTACATACCTCTTTCTGTAACTTAGACACTCGATCTTTTTGGGTGGCTAATAATTTTTCATTCCGTTTATATTTTTCTTCGGTGTCCTTGAGTTTTTTTTCTAAATCCGTGATTTTTTTCGTTTTGTCACCAACCTAAGGATTACAACGATATCCAGTTATGTTTAAAATGTATTTACTGAATAAATAATTCAGCTAGGTGCAAAATTTAATTGTGAATAATAATAATAAACATTAATTCTATAGATTTACCTCTTTGAGCAGTTTATTTTTATCTTGCTCTAACTTATTAATATTGTCTATTTGTTTTTTCAACTTTTCTATTTCTTTATCTTTAGAATCCATTTCCTTTTTAAGGTCTTCGATTTTTTTCATACAATCGGACATTGCAGTTTGATGTGTCGAAGTCTTTTCTGAAAATGAAAATTAATTAATTATCAGAATAAATTAATTCTCATACCTTTTCTTACTAATTTATAGAGTAAACTTACTTAAGTCCGCGTTTAGTTTAGAGATTTGAGTCTCTAAAGTTTTCTTTTCTTCTGCAAGTGTTTTAGAATCGGCAGTAATCTTATTGTTTTCTACTTCTAGGACTTTGCATTTTTCCACATAGGTATTTTTTTCTGCTTCCAATTTTGTGTTGAGGTCTTTCAACTTTCCGATTTCTGTTTGAAGGCGATTTTTTTCATTTTTGAATTCAGCTTCATTGCGAGACAGTTTTGACCTTAACTCTTCAATATCCTTATTTAAATTGGCTTTGGAACTAATTTCTTGAGAATTGAGACCCGCATTCTTCATTATAACGTACATTTCACCTATAAAATTATTATTAAAGGTGTATTTAATTCAATAGTTTTCAAAATAGAACTTATATTAAATTGAAATATAATTTACCTATTTCATTCTCTAATTCTTCCACCATTTTTTTCATTTGCAATTTAGTTGTCAATTCAGTCGGTTTTTTCGGAGTCCTGGGTTTAAATACTTTAATTGCGTCTTCTTTTAATTCTTTTAGTGAAATTTGCAATTTGGCTTTTTCTTTCTCTATCTGCAAAACGTAATTATTTCTAATAAGAGGAATGAAAAATCATAATAATAAGTAATGAATTCTAAATATCGCGTACCTTGCTGTAATTTAGTTTTAGTTTATCAAATTCTTCTTGTTTTAACTTAAGGCTATCAATATCTTTTTTATTTACATCAGTACCAAATCGCACTTTTTTTTCAGTCTTCTCTTCTTTTTCTTTAATATTTTCCAAATCCTTTATTTTTGCCAATGCTTCCTTCAATTCATTTTCTAATTGATTAATCTTTACCGAAGTTTGCTCTAAATTTTTATCAGATTTAAAATTTTTGGTATTTTTTAACAGCTGTAAGAACGAGGTTTGTAAACATGTTTGTATGCAAATTTTATTATGGTGAAATTATTATTATATATTCTATTACATCAAAAAATAGGATTTTTCTTGGATTTAAGAACTGTATACCTGTAATTTTTTATTTTCCGATTGTAATTTTTCATTATCCGCTTCAAGGCTTTGTGTTTTGGCTCTTAAAACATTTGCCTCTTGTTCAATAACTTGCAGTTGCCTTTTCAAATCTACATTTTGCAAATCACTTGGCCCATCGAGAGACCTTAAATTCATTGAAAAATATACAATATTACATTACACATGAGAAACGTGATGTAATCAAGTAATAACTTAATTATTTATTAATGTTATTAAACTTACTTGCTTTTCATTAATGAAGCTTTTGGTTTTTTTTGGGCAAGAGTAAGTTCTGCGTGTAGCCTTTCGCAGTCTCTCTCTTTCTCAATCAATTTTTTTCGTAATTCGGCAATTTCATCTTCTAAAACCTAATGATAGATTTTTTAAAAAACTTAATACTAAAAGTAATATATATAAAGTAAAAATAGTAAAAAAAGACTTACTTTAACCTTTTCTTCTGCTAAATTATTTGCTTTTCCTGTACTTCTCCTTAGGCCAGTGGATGAATTAGTATTTTGTTTGTTACTTTGACTTGAAAGTTTTTCCGTTAGTTCCCTAACTTGTTTTTTTAACGTATCTCTATCCTGTTCTAAATCCTCGACTTTTCGTCGTAAGACTGCTGACTCCTGAAAATTAATTATTAAAGGTAAATATTTGATACTAATACATAAATGTTCCTTCAGTTTGACGTAATGGTTATTTTACCTGTTCGTTAAGTTCAAGTAAAAGTCGTAATTCTGCTGGATCTTCTTCATCAGATATTCCTTCATCTTTTTCATTAGGTGCTTCAATAGCGAGCCTATTACTTGGAGGTGTTGGAGAAAGTTTTCGGCCTGCAAAATAATCTCTTTGAATGATATTAAACAATGTACAATAAAATTAAATTAAAAACATTGTGTGGTTTTATGAAACCAGGATGCAAGTGAAACTTTTTCGGATCGTAGGCATTTAAATGCAAATTTTCAGTTAAATATTAATTACTATTTATAAAATAATCAATAATTCAAATTTAATGGAAATGCTATACGGTTAGCTGATAAAAGCTGTGGGCACCGCCATATTGGTCTTAACTGTCCTACCGAGCGCCTTTTACTTTACCCCGCGGCCGGTTGTATAGCGACATGCGATAGATGGACGAAAAGTTTTGAGGCGATAGAAAAAGTTTCACTTTAATAACATAATATAGTCACAACGAGTATAGTGTCAGTAGTGGTGTTTAAAAGTAAATTTATTAGTAATGGAATTTGCATCGAAATTAAAAACTCTACACAACTCATCAACCACAGCTTAATTTCACCTTAAGAAAATGGCTACCATATTTATGCCAGCGAATTTTGTAATATATATGTAATATTTAGACATTTAACACTTTATAAAGCTCAGGCTTAATAGCGATTAGTATATATTTATGTAAATATTGATGGTGTATGATAAACATACATGGGGGATAAAATTTAGTTAATAGAAATGTTACATGTACATATGTTATGTTTGATTTAGATTCAAGGTTAGACAAAGCAAGGAGATTTTTAATAATTAATCATATGAACGTACTTCTGGCTTTGGTAGCCATTTTCTTCAGCTGTAGAAGTAATGACTCATTGTCGTCTTCAACCCTTGATGCAGTTTTACGCAAATTATTTGCCTGAAAATATTAGTTAATTTAATAATGTCATTTTAATTTTATATATGTTTGGGATAAATTAGTAATAATCATTTGGTTAATGACTAAATTTATATCTAGCAATCAAAACAACACTGAACAACTCGACCTTAAAGATTATGTACCTATAATCGGTAACCTGGCCGCTAATGGATTAAATAATGATACGAAAGGGAAAGACAGGTGATCAGAGGGCCCAGATAAAACCCTATCGTTGGAAAGTGGAGGACTTTCTGACTTTTCCTTTGGACGATCACTATTCGGACTAGACTTTATTTCATCTCCAGTATTATCCAAAACTGGTACTTTATTTGACTGATTCGTTTCAGTCAATATACTTTTGCTAGAAACAAATAAGTTGTTAGTGTCAGTGCTAGCATCTGCGTATTCCATAGACTTTTGTACCGTTTGTGAGTACATATCATTTGTTTCTTGCGGCAAAGTCTGAGCACACATAGTTCTCTGTTTAGATTTATCAGTTTGAGTAAGAGAGTTTGTTGTTAAATTATTAGTTTGCACGTATTTATTCTTTGTAAATGGAATTTCAGTTTGCGAATACATCTCTGAGATGCTAATATTACATTGAATATTTGAATCGAGAGTTATTTTTTTCACTTCTGTTGCAATATCTACTAGTATTATTTCATTAGTTTGACATCCCTGAGAGTAAAATTGAATAAAATCTTGAGGAGTTTGTAAATTTTCATTAATACCAATAGTTAGTTTACTAATGTCGAAGGAAAAAAGACGTTTTTCGAGGGCCAATTGGGTTTTAATTATTTCATGTCTAGATTTTGCTTCATTTAAATTAGCGGAACTTGGAGGAATAAGCATGATTTGCGATGATGATGGAAGTTTTGGTGGAGGTGGAATTCTTCTGCCTCCGTAGCGATGCCGATATCGACTGGCCTGTTAGAAGATAAGATTGTATAAGCTTAAAGCCTTTGGTATGTGTAAGTTAACTAATTATAAGCTATAGATAGATCAGAAACTTCTGATTATACATTACCAATATTTTTAAGTAAAAAATATGAAGAGAACATATAATTTTAATAGGTGCCTTATTATTTAATGATCTTACCTCTTCTTCAGCGTTGCGTAGTTGCTCGCGTAAATCAGCCTCGCGTTCCAACGAGTCTTGTAAGTCTCGCAATAGCTGAGCTGGATCTTCCTGACTGCCGCCACGTGTTAATGACGATCGTGAAACCTTTTGCTAAAAAAATAACCAAAATATTAATAAAGAGTTTGAATCTTTTTCATAAATAAATTTTAAGACTCTGTTTGCACCGTAGGAATATCGAATATCAGGGCTAGAGCGCCTGGATGCCTAATCCGGTGGGCTTAGGTTCGAATCCTGGTAGCAGCGAAATATCGGTCGACAAGCCCTTCTACACAGTTTAAGATTCATTTTACGAATCAATCAAATAATAAAACAATATGTTTGTTACAATAAATGTGTAGAGACATATTGATTCTTTATGAATAATAATTAATAAATAAGTAGTCATAACAATCTTTACCCTGCCCTTATCCCACCTAGCTGGGGTCGGCACAATATGTGTATCATATTGTTAGTGGTATTGTCTAGTTTTTTACGACTGACATCAGCCCTCCTTGGGAACGAACTTATTTGGGGGTTACACAAGTATTTGCTCCCTATTGGCATCAAACCACTGCCAGCTCTGAAGTCAATAGCTTAGCAATTATTCCTCAAATATTATTTTAAGCTATTATTACTCGCACATCGTTGATATTCTTTTATCAAATTCTAATGTAAGAAACATTAAAGTTTAGGCTTAAACTAGAAAATGGGCAGACCAATCACGTAGTTATTCACAAGAAGACATGAAATAAGGAACTTATAATTTCAGCATAACATAAATTCTGTTCTGTTTTATGTGTCTGTTTTGATTAATAAGACAAAAGGACATTTCTCATACCTAAGGTGAGATTTTTACTTAGTAAGTACATACAATTATAAAACTTACACCATCAGCGGGTGGTGTGTGTTTCTTTAAGTTGGCTGGAGGAGCACCAGATACTGCGGCAAGTTTTGCATTGGCTTCTGCAAGGTCGCGTTGCAGTCGTAACGAAACTTCTGTGGAACGAGCGACTTCTTGCTCTAATTCCTTGATCCGATTTTCACGCTGCATCCCTTCCTGACCACCAACTAACTAGAAAAAAAATAAGGGTGCTCTATTTGGGCAACTTGGTAAGATATCATGAATTGACAATATTTAACGTCACTTCACTAAAAACTTATCAAAAAACTCATACTGTAACACATTCAAATGTACTTTTTAGAAATGTATAGGTAAATGGAAAATAATAAAATAAAGTTGAGATTTTCGTCAGTGAGAAGATAAACCGTTTAGCTCAGTTTCTAGAGAGTCAATTGCGTATTCCGGAGGACGCAAGTACAATTACTCGCAACGGCGAAAAGCTTTTCGTCCATTTTTCTACTTGATTTCATACTAAGTGCAGAGAATAGTAATATAAAAATTAATACCCTTTCAAAAGTAATTTTTTGCGTTAAAACTGTACCTCTAAAAGTTTCTTTTCTTGGTCCGCCTTCTCGACTTCTAGCTGTTCAGCTCTTCTTTCAGTCTTTTTTAATTTAAAAGATAAAACTCTACAGTTCTTTATTGTTTGCTCTAATTCTCTTCGCAAAGAAGAATATTCATCTGCCTGATCTTCTCTGTAAATTTCATATAACTAAGTAAGGAATCAAACATAATAGACACACACTTCTAATAATTGTTCCTGTTTTGAAAAACGATTACGCGATAGTGCAGTGAAGCAATAACATGATAACTGATAAATATTTATTATTAGTATACTGGTACCTAAAATTATCTTGCATTTCCTCAATTTCCTCCTCAAGATCCCTTAACTCCTTTTTCATGTCCTCGTTTTCATCCATTAACTCTTCACATAACGTTTCTGCAGCTAATAATTTCGCTCGCAATTGCTCGATCTGTTTTGTCTGTGCTTCCGTCGACGGCCGTGACTATATAAACAACTGCATTAGTTTTTTAGCAAGATAATAGGAATGAATTTTCGAGAAGTATCGACAAAAATGATGTAATCAATTTTAATGAGTGGATACAGATAGACATTAAGATATACTTATAATTTAAGTTCATATATGGATTAATAGAGAGAAATGGGGATTATGCTATTTGAAATAATACCTCAAGTTCTGCTTCAACCTCTCTAATCCTAAGTGTAAGATGTTTTTTTTCGTCTTTTAAGTCTTCATTCTGTGTACTGAGTTCGTTTACTTTTTGCTGCAACTTTAGAACTTCAGAAGATCGACCTGTGGTATATTTATTAGCAGTATCGATATTAGCTAATCTTCTAAGTAGAATATCACTTTTTTCTTTTTCCACTCGTTCGCATCTTCTTTTAAGCATGTCCACTTCTTGTTTTAAACTTTCTATTTGGTCCTAAAAATTGACACAACTTTATAGTGCAATTACTTTTTATTACAATGTTACAATTACTCTACGTGAGACTAATTCGTAATTCGATTAAAATTAAATGTAAATGAGTAACAATCAATTAGGTATAGACATCGAAAGTGTTTAAAAACTTTGCGTAAAACAAGAATGAAAAAAAAAAAATAACATGTAGAATGCTGTTGCTTTTGTCAGCTACGACTTAACCACGTGTTATTAATATGATGCTAACAATGTTACTTTATACCAATATTTAATTGACCTGATAATCTTTTATGTTGGCATCGACGAGCGTTGTATCTGTTGTTATTGTTCCGGTGGTGCTGGCATCATCGTCCGAAGTTTCGTCTTTATCACGCGAAGGCCCGCCTCTAATAGGAGGTTTGGAAGTCGATGACACATTTCGAGAACTTTTAACCTGTAACAAATGTCCTATAAAAGTATTGGAAAATTCGTACAGAAAAAAATAAAAGTCTTATTTTGTTGTTGTGTTTTTTTGCGTTAGATTGACATTCACCTGAATTAAAAAATTAACGTCGTCTGTTGCTGACGACCGTTCTTCTTTTATTTTAATTGATTTCTCTTCTTCTTTACTTCTGGATGCGCTTCTTTTATCTCTTTCCTTCTCTATACTTGACTCCTTTTCAAAACTATTTTGTGATTTTAATAGTTGCATCTGAAAACGAATAGCGCATTTATGTAATTATAAGACATTAATTCATTCAGTGCTATGAAGGATTCTATAAAGTCTAAAAAAGCTATGTAGTCAATAAAGTCACAAAACTAAAATTTAATACTAATACGAGTTTAAACGCCTAACTGTGAATATAAGTATATTTACTGTGCGTTAAAAATAGATACTGGGCCGTTTCCTCAATTAATTATAACACCTCACGCCTTGCCAAAGAGATTCTCTTGTGGCGACCTTTCGATTATTTTAAATGTGGCATCGCAACAGTGCTATTACAGTTAAAGTGTAACCATTTCATCAGAATGACCCATTTGTCTGCGATTTTTTCAATTTCCTATTATAATTTGATTGTTGATTTAACAATAACGTGAAACACTTTTTTTAAAAATAAAGTAGAATGCTTCCACGATAAGATTATTTCTAAAATATGAAAGCTAAAATTGTTACAGATAAACAAGTCATCTATATCGCAATTAAGTACATTCTAATATGTAAATTCTTAATTACAGCGAGTCCATTAATCTAGTGGCGGATTTAGGCATAGGACTCTGCAAGACGTAGGTTGGCAAATTTATAGGGGTGGCAAAGTTTCTAAGATGGCAAATATTTAAAATAGATTTTGCTTTTTATCAACAGTGAGGTCGAATTGTATTGCTACTTTTCCTACCTTTCCAATGTTAAGATGTCAATATGTCAAGGGGTAGAATTATTTTGATAAAATAATTATGCAAGTACAAAAATAAAACTATTTAATTGGTAGTTATTCATAATTTGTATTATTACAACATTGGATATCGTCGCCACCGTAAAGTCAAATTCAGGGAAGTAATGAGAACGGCAAACATAAGGAAAATTATTTATTTTTATTAAACTGATATTTAGGCACGCTGACCGATTCCTTTTTGATTATTGGCCACGTACTAATCTTTAACCGATAATTAACAGATAAAATTTTCATAATCCCTTTGGTACAGTCTCACATATATATTACAATCGTAAAATTAGCATTTAAATCATTGTGATCAGGCGTGTGTCGGATGTGCGCGCGTATTTGTTTTTGTGTGTGACAATGCTTAAAATAAACGTAGGTCCTCCCTGATCACCTTTCGGACGCGTTCGGCGAGTGAGTCATTCTTGTTGATGGTGATGCTGGCTACGGCTGCCGGGGGTGGTGACGGCGAAGGTCGACGCACTGACACCGTGTCTGTGGGCATTCAGCGTTCCGCGTACAAAATACTACACAACGTCAATACAACGTTCTTTATTACAAAATTGTCGTAAACATAATAGCATTAATTATAAATATTCGAGCATAGTGACGACCCGAATGGTGTAGTAGGCGAGTACCTGCCTCCTGTGCCAGAGGGTTTGGGTTCGATCCCCAATACTGGAAAAATATTGTGTGATGAACATAGTGTTTTTCTAGGGTCTGGGTGTATATATGTATAATATGTATTTATTTACAAAAGAAAAATATGTTTAAGTATGTTTATCAGTTTTCTAGTACCCATAGTACAAGCCTTGCTTAGTTTGGGACTAGAGAATGTTGTGTAAAAAAAAATGTGTCCTAAATGTGTGTGTGTGTGTGTGTGTGTATATATCCTACTGCTGGGCAAAGGCCTTCTCTGTTAGGGCATAATTCACGTCCCAAACTCACTGCAGAAAGGCGGATTTCACATGTATACGAAATATTTTTTCTTGTTATAATTTGGAAAATATGCAGGTTTCCTTACGATTGGTTTCCTTCATCGCTGAGCACGTAAAAAGTCAACATTTAAAACATTTCTACAAATAACACATTAATCATACTAAAGGGTAATATTTGGCAACTATTAATTTATATTATTTGGTGTTTACGTTTGGCCATAATGCCCCTCTATTTACGAAGTTCAGTTTGACCTTCCACAAAATATTTTTTTTTATTTTGAAAGTCGAATCACAACCAATCTAAATACTCCCGTATTTAAAATGATAATAAATAAAATTATCTTATATATTTTCTGACGCCAATATTTCTGATCTGGAAAGAAAAAATTACATTCATGGAATCATACCATAGATTCCATAAGTGTAATTTTTTTGAGCTTCAGTTTTATTTTATAGGGACCACATTTTCTAGGAGCCTTCATTTAAAATACATTTAGGATAAAATGTTTTAATACTTGTAGTTAATAAAAGTGAAGCCAAAAAGTTTTCAGCTAATGCATAAGCATTGAATTACTTGCTTTCAAGAAATAAAAAAAATATAGTTTCAACTTATTACAATAGTTATAAAAGAAGCTCAAGAAAGATATTATTTAATGATGAAAAGAATGCTTAAGATAAAAGAAAAAGATATCCCCTGAATAACCGGGGTAAAAAATAAAATAAAATTAGTAGAAGCAAACATGTTAAATACAGTACAATATACAATTCTTTTTTCAAATTACATGATTTAGTCAGTTCATGTAATGAACTAAAACAGGTATCCATACTAATATTATAAATGCGAAAGTAACTCTGTCTGTCTCGCTTTCACGCCAAAACTATTGAACCGATTTAAATGAAATTTGGTACTCAGATAGTATAGAGCCTGAGAAAGGATATAGGCTATTTTTTATTGGAAAAAGGGTTATAAAGGGTTCTTAAAGGGGATAGATATTTATTTAAGGCGAAAATATATATTTATATAAGGCGAAAAGCTAGTCAAGAAATAAAAACGAATAGTTTCAAATAACATCAATTGTTCTATTATATAATAAAATCCTAAAAAAGATATTTTTGAATTCATCCAAAGAATGTTTGAGACAGGAGATGGCGATGTAAAAAAACAATTTTTTTTTGCAAGAGTATATATATCATCGTAAATTATTTAAAATATTTTCATGTTCAAATACAAAACTGATTCATGCTTTTACTAGCGAGTACAGTTTCTAAACAAAATTTTATTTATTAATAACTAGTCTTTCGTCCGCGGCTTTGTTCGCGTTGAAGCCCTTAAATAAATTCTATTATAATTATATATAATTCATTTAAATCGGTTCCGTAGTTTTGACGTGAAAGCGAGACAGGCAAACAGAGTTACTTTCGCATTTATAACATTAGTATGGACATATCTTGTTTCTCACTATCAATTGTATATTTTTTGGAAAATAAGTTTAAAATGTCTCAACAAAACATATTATTTTATTTATATCTGTGCTACACAACTATAGTCGTTTTTAATATAAGTAAGCGTGTAGCAGGCGCGTGCTCTACGCCAGGAACGCACAACATACCAATTTATACAATAATCTTTAATCGTAAACTTATGTTCAAACCTAAAAACAACACACGGGGTTAGAATTGTGAATTGACCTGTGACATTCTGGCCAGTATCCAAGGCGGGTAGTGGACCCGTGGATCGTCGTTTGGGTAACTTAAGGCTGACGGTGACTGCGGTTGTGGAGTCATTGTCATTTGCCAGATCTGGTGTTGATGTCCATGTGGTACTGGTTTTATTTAAGCCTATGAACAAAACATTTTTATTTTATCTAGAAAATACGTACACCCGTGGATCAGGTAAATTCTAACGGGCAAAATCCACTTTAAGTACTATAATGTTCAATTGTGTTATTCACATTGGGACAATACATTCGTTAGTTTTACTACTTGCATACTTCTACAAGTATCTAATATTATTAAAAAGAAATATGTGAACCGGTTCCACACCGTCTTAATGCATGAATTTGAATCAACAGATATGGAATTAAAACTACGGGGAAGGACGCTTTATTATATTTATGGTATCAAGTATATGTATATATAGGTATTAAGTATATGGTATAATCATAAAAACCCTAGTAAGTAAATAGTAGTAGAAGAAGAAAATTAGCGAAGGTACATGCGTTAGCTGGTGCATTGCAAGTGACAAAAGATTTTTTAATAAAAATGGAAACATTCAAACGAGTGTACGTCAATGAATATTTAAATAAGATAATGAGTTATATTACATACAAGTTTGATAGTAAGTTTTAATTAAGAGTTGGAATAACTTAAAATATTAAAAACTTGTTATGTTTTAATTAACATCACTGACGAACTCTCGTACGCTTCGACTTTACACACACATAAACATTCCATAACAACAAAATACCTTTTAAGATTTTCTTTGCATCAGAAGTTGCCGTCTTTATTTTATCTTTTAACCTTACGATTACTTCTTGCAGAAATAACTTTTTGAGTTGGTATTCCATAATTATATTAGGTATATATTATAATTTTAAATTTAAATTACGCCAGTTCGTGAAATGTTTCTTAAAACTCGACAAAATACCGTTTTAAATACATATAGGCATATTTAAATTAAAGTAAGAGTCGAAATCTTTAAGGAGGCCTAGAAGTAGATAAAAAGCTGGCAAATATGCATTTGCTTCATTAATTAAAATGTTTATTTCAACAAAAGGTACATTACGCTAAACCAAAAATGTGAAAGTATGTTTAATCTTCTTAGCGAGTCTACGGCAAACTTAAAGAAATAGATTATTATAGAGACGCGGGGTCTGTTTGTTCGTTTGTTTAATAAGAAATTATTAGATTTTGGCTGTACCTGTGGAGAATGAGTCTTTTTTGGAAGGTTCGATGGAGCTAAGGTTTGTACTGGAAGCCCAGCCACGTCCTGTTTTCTCCCCGGCTGGAACATCTTCATCACGATTTCTGTTTTTATTTAGGTTGGATTAGCTTGACTTAAAACGACTATAAAGATAAAGACAAGGGAAAATTTCTGTCTAAAAGGATTTATTTCATGGTATTTTTATGATTTATAGTACCAGTCTCTGGACTCTAGATGCAAGTGTTGTCGTCCTGTGTAACACCCAAGTACAAGTGCCTGTATTGGGTGTTACTTTTTTATGCTACCTGTAGATAATATGAAACTAAGGCTGTTGTACTTCTTACAATAAGTTTTATATTTTGTATGATGGTGACTCTTTGCGTAGAGAAGTGGCGAGGAGATATTCCAAGGGTGGTACCATGATAAGGAAACCCGGATCTGATGATGAAATCGAGGGAATCCTAAAATATTGTAGTTATTACTAATGTTTTTATTTTAATTTCCTGTTTGAAATCGTTTTTTTTTTGTAAAAAATTATTTGTTTAACGTTTCGAAATTGTTTATATATTTTGAATTATTTAGATAATTAATTATCTGTTTCAAAACGTTTAAACAACAGTCAATTGCTATTATGATACAAATACCATATATGTTATTTAATCAGATGAATTTTTAAATTAAATTTTATACATAATGTTTTTCAAAACGATAAATATTAAAACACACAGGGTGTTATTACATGACTTCACTGCATACCGAATCGCTTTTCGTTGTTTTTTTTATAAAGAACTTTTAAAACCGAGGGTCATATTATAAATATGGATATTTATGCAGCGATTTACTACGTTATGTATTTTCCATTGTTGTGGACTCACAAAGAATTTTTTTTTTTTTTTTTTTTTTATGCGAAAAGTTGTCAAACGAGCAGACGGTTCACCTGATGTTAAGTGAATACCGCCGCCCATGGACATCTGCTACACTCGAGGGTTACAGATGCGTTGACAACCTTTTGAAAATTGGGCTCCGGCTACCTCACTCACCAGACGAAACGCGAAAGTATTTGTCATACTTCCACTTTCCGCCGGTCTTCTGTGAGGTCGTGGTACTTACCCGGACGGGCCTGCCCATTCGTGCAACAGCCGAGGCTGCTGCGTGGCCCTACCACCGTCAGAATCAAATTTTAATGTACGTTATATATAGACTTATGCTTTTAGAAAATGTAGTTATTATATAGTCATATAAACTTTAAAAATAAATCTGTTATAATCTTTAGTTTTATCTTAAGTTAAATAACATTAAAATGTGAATAACATTAAAACGTTATTAATAAACATTTTACTATACGATTTTACTGATATAATTGAAAAGAAAATCAATAGGTTCAATGAGTACCTAAGTTTTACAACTAAGAACAATCAATTTCAAAGAATTTCAACTAGATGTAGAGTGCGTGTTTGCTGAAGTATTTACAAACCTTTAAAACACGAATGTTATTTTGCGCAGTTGGCATTGTTTCTTTTGCTATGAATGCTCTTTGATAGTACAGATGGATATGTATAACATTCCTCGGTGTTAGATAAAAATGCGTATTATCAGTAAATTTTAAACAGCTCTACATGGTAAGTGAGGTGATCAAAAAGTTTATGAAAAGATGACCACTGCAATTATTGTACTTCATTTTGTTACTTTTCCCATTAAACAAATAAAGAACATGTGTATGAAAAAGAAGTAACATAGAAAATAATACATTTTTAACATACTGCGTGTTATAACCAAGCCCCGTATTTTTCGCCGTTTTGTTAATCTTCCTTCTAACCTTATTTCATCTGGATGGAGTCGATACATCTGAATCATGGTGAAAGTGAGTATCGGCTAGGGTTGTTACGAAAGTTGTGGTGCTAACGTCAAACTTGGGAAAATACCCCAGAAATATTATATGTGGGTCACACAAATACATGTCCCGTGTGGGAATTGAACCAACGACCCCCGTGGCCGAAGACAACATTTGCGTTACAGAGGCATCCGCCGTTTTCTTAATGAACATAATTTTTTGTCAATTAACTTTTAATAAATGTCTTTGGGAGTATTTTCATTCGAGAAGGTGGAAAACGAGCAAATCAAATCAAATCAATAAAAGAAATATACATTTCATCTATCGATGGTCATTTTTTAAATCTACCAGCGTTTCGTAATAAGGTTCCTCTAATGGAGCAGAAACAGGCGAAAGAAACTCCGCAGGTATCCTCTTTTTTGTCTTTTTTTTTATAAAAACATTAAATTACATTAAAGTATTAAACATATTTTTTGGTATTATAGAAATAGCTTGGGAATAATTAACTCATTCCCATCACGAGCAAGCGGTTCACCTGATGTTAGGTGAATACTGGCATCCATTGACGTCTACAACACCTTTTGGACTGCAGGTGCGTTGTCCACTTAAAAAAATAAAGTTTTCCCGGTTACCTCTCAAGAGACGAAACCTAAAGTGCAAATACAACCACTTTTGTGAGTGAGTAGCTGCGGCGTACCGCAAAAAACTAAATAGAACTCAGAATATGCAGTAATGGTTGGGATCGTGGTCTTGCGTTGTAAAGCAGTAAGTTCGAATAAAAGATTACATATCTCTAGTACTATAGCTAGCTGAATTTAAGATACATACCAGGCTCATCCTCTCACAGGTTTTGGGATTTAAAAAACTTGTTCTGACATAAGCTAGCCGTTACGTTGTTGAAGTTTTAACACGTGAATGCATTGTATAATATTTAGTCTTTTCCAATTAGTCGGGCCATTCTGTCACATGTTTATCGTGAAATAATTGACAAATTATTGTTTTTACAATAACTTACTAAACGTAGAATCTTATCCTAAATAAGCTTATTGAAAATGATCACAGCGAGTTTGAGTACAAGTCTTCAAACTAGGCGGCCAATCGTCTGTAGAAGGTCCATCTCATTATGGGCGGTTGCTTTGATCATGGATGCCTGAAGACTCTAAATCAGGATAAGGTATTGAGAAGGCCCGTTCCTCCAAATGCTGTCATATTTTATAATCCAACGGTTTTAAGACTTGACTGAGACTTTACGAGGGCCAGTATTCGTGTTGGATGAAGTCAATTTCACGCATCGTCAGCCAGTTTTGCGAGCTTTTCGCTCTATGGGTTAGTGCAGAATCATACTGAAATAACCAGTGTACGCTATTGACAATGTGAGGGCTGTATTTTGACACACAACTGCATTAGTTTTTACGCCTTTCTTACAAAAATGTACATCAGTTAAGCCCGAATATTACTCCCAGCCAGACCATGAGTGCAATGGAAAAAGTCCTCGCTGGACATGCGGTATGCGGCTGCTCGCTTCTTCACTATTGTACGTCTTATCATTTTGTTTATTGTAGCTCTACTCCACGATAAAAATCTTTTTATCCGAAAGATGAATTTCGTGATTTTTTCCCGCATATCGCTTAAATAAAACGTCTATTCAGTTTCAGGTTCATTAAAGGCGCATCCAAACGATGCCTGCGTTCCTTCAATAAACTTGAAGCCCTTTGTCTTCATTTAATACTCTTTTCATCGTGATTCTGCTTAACCCCATCTGAAAGGTCAACATTCTGCTTACGCATAGGATTTCTTTGGATTCACTACTTCACAGCTTTAATCACTGTTGGAGTCTTAACAGTGTGAAGGCGACCCATGGTTTTTCTGTCAAATTTTATTACACATTTTTTTTACACTTGAATTTTCATTATACCGTTTGATAGAGCGATAAACGGGTTATATTAAAATTTTTAGTTAAAAATTCAAATCTGATTAACCGTAACCGCAGCGTTATAACGGAATAACTGCAACTCGTTAATTTTTTAAATGAAAATCGAAATTGTGCATATTTTTATTTTAATAAAACATTCGAAATTCAAATTTAATGAATAATTTTGTGGCAAGCATTTCATTATGTGACAGAAATTACCGACTATGTATGTCGCCGTATATGTATAGTCAATTGAAAGGCGAAAGTTATCTCATCACAGCAAATTCCAGGCACGTCAAAACGTCTGCATATTTACGGCAGTAGCAGTTCGTTCGCGAATTAGTGTGTGCTGAGATTACATGTGTATACGGAGGCGGTTTGCGTCAATCCATCTTCAACCGGGCGCCATACAAACAATTCATAAACACATTTGGATATCTGGAATTGTGCCACAAATAGCTTTTTATAGTTCCATTTACGACTTACTAAGATATCACTATCGAATAATCCCTTTGTTGATTTGTTTGTATCGCGTCATAGTAAAATGTATTAAAGTTTTAAACAATGTGGCTATCACGGACGCTAGACCTAGGTAGCAAATCATGCATTGTTTTATTGGTTAAATCATTTTTTTTTAATTTACCCTTTTTTAACCTGTCTCATCGAGTAATTTTTGGATATAAGTCAATTGCTTTGCTCTCTTATTCTATTGAATGAAATTATTACGGTGAAAAATAAATTGTATACCTTTTCACAGTGTAGTGTAAATTAATATCTATTTTTAACAGTACTAAAGACAAACGAACGCGTTTTGTTCAGGAAATTGAGGAAATAATTACCTCGTATCTGATTTTAAAATAACACTTTCATAGAGCAGATGTTTTTGAACAACCTTTGAATTAACAACAGTATGTTATTAAATGACGATTAAGACTGGTCTCTCTTGCCATTACCTTAAATAGTAATTCGTGTTTCATTATTACGAAAGCAACACCGATGCCGCGATCGGCTTTCTTCGTGTTTCTTGATTATCGGTAATGAGTAACGGATATAAGACTTTCTCCGCATATGTTCATAAAACCTACTTATATTTTTATGTTATATTGTCACTTAAACTGAAATTTATCGTTTTCTCTACCTTAATAAATGTCGAATAGATTCGCAAGTAAAATTATTCAAGTGATAAAGCTGCAGACTTCGTATGTTCACATTTGGTCGTTAATTTTTCTAAGCTCATGGTTTGTGCACTGTACGTAGCTAACCGTGAGGCTGGTGAGCTCCAAGTGGAGAGACTTGGTGTTGAGGCTGCAAAGTCATCTTCCCGTTTTCGGCCGCCGCCGTGCTCCTTATAGTCACGAAAGCAACGCTTACACCTCGTAGGCCACCTGACCTGCGGATGGAATCCCAAGGGGCAAAGGGGGTCGCCCTTCGCCAATGGATACAAATGATGCATTGTCACAACACGGCACCACTATCAAATGCACAAATCACGAATGTCATCGGTTTCCGGTTAAATGCGAACTACTACTCCAGACCCCGACCCTTCACATCCCTCGCCTACCGCTCGTCCTGTTCACTTTTCACGTTTACGGACGAAAATCATACAGTACCGCGCGTGTACTACACACCACACGACAATGTTTATGGAATGGGTTTATGGTAGCGCGCTATTAATAATGAATTTATTTATTTAAGTGCGTGGTCGAAGCCCGTACGTCTGCACCGCACTAGCAATAAAAATATCCCGCTGCTAGCGCCGAGCCGGGCGACCTAAATCGAAAGCTCCGGTACTGACTGAGAATTCGCGATTCTCGGCGCGCAGAGGGTTCTTGGTGTTTGGCGCGACGCTTGTGAGGATCCCAGTCGGTCGTCTGTTCGTGGGCTAAGCGGCTGTAGGGATTACGTTGCGACGGTTGCGGCGTGGGGCGGGCGCGGCGCAAGCGGCGGTCGAGCCGGCTCTCCGGGCACTGGCGGCTGCGCGGGCACCGTGCCAACTGCCAAGTGCCAACGCCGCCGCAATGCCAACAACGCCAGCGCTCGCGGCTCGCACGTATCCGCGCCACTCATTGCAGCGGACGCATTCCCGTCGCACGCATTCGCGCGTGTAATTAAAGCGAAACCAAGCCGCCGGCATACTGATGGCGGCCCGGTCACGGAACATACAGTACGTTCCCTGGGCCCGGTATCGCGCTTTATATAGCGAAAAAATCGCTGCGAAAGTCGCAAGTAGCGTGTCTGCACTCAACGTGGGACGCACTACGACATGGCGTGACGCAACCGCATATCTCGTATTTTCCGCGCCGCGCCTACCGAAATAGACGCCGAATGAGTTATGCTGGAAAATGTGCTCATCATGCATGCTGACACAACGTTTTTTCTTTTTGATTTTCGAAATGTGGCATCATGTGGCTTCGTTATGAATGAATGCCAAAAATATATAAAAATATACGAAATGAATTTTTAGCATCCACACAGGATGTAGATATTCTTAGCTTGCGAGTATATTTATTTAGATGAACGCTGTGCGTCAGCAGTATTACTTTAAAGTTAGGCGAAAAATTGGCATCTGGCATAGTATTGGTGCTGACGTATGGTTCGTGTAAGGACCAGGATACTTTCCTTGGTGATTTTATCATGAAACTGTACCATCTCAGAAGTATAAATTAGATGGTTGGAAATGAAAAATGAACGAAAGCTATTTTTTTTAATAAAAAACAACGGTAAAACGAGAGTATTTTAAAATTTAATCCAATAATTAACAATAATTATAAGTCTTGAAATATCTCCACTTAAAATAAAAATTCGGTTGCTTGTAAGGTTAATTGATACATTAAAGAGTAAAAAGTGAAAAATGATATGGTTGTTCATTGACACTTAATTAAAATGTGACCGTCCTTGTTAGGAAACATGCATAGAATGCATGCATAGGAATGCACGCCGTCATTGTAACAAAAATATATGTGTGGCTTAATTTAAAAGACAGCATCGATACATTATATACATAATTAATATATTTAATTGATTCTTGTGACCTTATATACTAATAGCATATGTGTTTGTGATCCTTAAAATGTAATTTGTACTTGGGCGCGAACTGAATTAACAAAAATCGCCTTCGTTGAGAGGCTCGTCCTCCTTTTTGTCGTACACGAGGGTCTTATAGATCACTTCCTCGAAACGTAACGCGTTCAACCCTTTGGGCTCGGCCACTTTTATCTTCACGTCGCCGGGATACAATATCTCGCCCTTGTTTTTAGTGCTGCCCATCACGAGGGACTTCTGCAGTTTGTCGATGCACGGTATTTCTGAAAAAACAATCAGTTGAATAAAGGTGTATGTAAAGGGTGTTAGCCTATACATGTCCCACTTCCGGAGAGACCTGGAAAATGAGGGATCACGGCTGTATGTGAAAGTATCAACAAATTCCAATCGATACAGTCTATGCCTCGCTTTTAAGCCGATTGGTGGAGTCAATGATTTATGATAATGTTACCTTATTATCACTGACTTACTTCACATACACACACCATGAATGGCCATGGAAGTACCACGGCCTCGCACGAGACCAGCGTGAGTGGAAGTAGCGTTTTTTTTTCAAGTTATAAAACGCATCTGCAACGTCCACCAGCCGCGGTTATCACTTAACATGTGATCTCCCAGCTCGCTTGCCAATGTTTTCGAAAGAAAAAATATAAAACACGTACTTCGGGGTAAACTGTTAGTAGTTTAGTAAGTAGCATTGGAAATAGTAATACAGTCATATCTTTGATTGTCAAGCAAATAACTATCCAGTGTTATCCTTAATAAATAGGCACAAATAAATATCCATTTTTATCATGTTTACGCTTGACTCTTAGAGAGAATGTGATAAACGAGCATGAGATGGCGGACACAACAACATAATATATATACAATGTATATCCGCTTTTGTATTTTCAAGACATAAGTAAATGTTTGTAAACAAGTTTCTAGTTCTGAGAAAAGATATTTTGCGTTTATCTACAATTATTATAATAGGCAATAAATGGGGTATTTGTCTATAATTTACTTAGTCACTTACAATTCAAGCAGTTAATAATAAAAGTTAAATATAGAGATAAAATGTCAATGTGCACTTGAGTTTGTGAAACTTGAAAAGTCAGTACGTATGAATGTAACAGAAGTATATTTAACGTTCATAAAGCGAAAAATAAAATGTTAAAATAATAATAAAAAGTCTCTACTGTAGTATATTTGTCCACAAAGATTGATATTTATAAAAGTTTACTTGATCATTTAATAATGTACATTGATTATGTTTGTTTTTTTAAGCGATTTCTTATCGGTTCTTTCATCGTTTACAGTTATGATAGTAAGAGAAAAACATCTCACAGAAAACTAAGAAACGGTGCGACGTTTAAATAGGGATAAAAATATATCGAAGCAACGAATATTGTTTACACCGGCTGTGACAATTTGAATTTTATTTAATAAAACTGGTTTACGGATTATATTTGATTTTAACTTTCAAGTATCATTTCCTATGTTCATACTCAGAAAGACTTATTTCGACGTGAAGTAATCGCGTATATTGACGGCTTGATTAACGTAAGTTTGTTTGGCTACCATAGATACAAGTTTTGCCTTTCTTTGTTTTGTAATGTTCAATGTGCCTTTTCTAATGCCAGCATAAATATGGCGCTAAAACTAATTCCATTTTAATGGTTACAATTTATGCCGTAGTCGACTTTTACCGTAGGAACGTTTCAGTGCATTTTACTTATTTAGGATTTACTCTGGTATTTGACGAGAACTATGATCAATGATCTTGAATCTTATAAAAATTCTGTGCAAAACGCTAAGTGCAAACGTAATGGCTAAGTGCAAACGCACTGGCTAGCTGCAAACGCAGCGGCTAAGTGCAAACGCACCGGCTAAGTAAGTACAAACACAACGGCTAAGAGCAAACACAACGGCTAAGTGTAAACGCAACAAGTCTGGGCCGATTTGCTGCTAAGTGCAAACTCAATGCTTACCCGAAGTGACGACTTTTTTGATAGGTGTACCAAGCGCCGCTTCTATCACTCTCACGTCGCGCACCAGCTGTTGAAATTCGGTCGGAGTTAGCGAACACACGTGGTCGGTGCCTTTCAAATTCTTGTCCAAGGTTATGTGCTTTTCCAATACCTGCGAAGAAGCGGAATTCAAGCTGGAATTCAATATCAGGCTGGTTAAAGCTGGATAAAATATAACATCTGATAACATATTTCGAAGATATCCTGTATTGGCCGGCTGCCCCAACTTGGCTGTGGTTAGCTGGAAATAATTAAATCAACAAAGCTTACGTAGCGAGTGACAAATTTGTCAATCTTTCCGAATTTATCAATAAACATTGAGATTACTAACTTAGAGAAAAAACACACTTCAAATCCGTTCAGTAGTTTCAGAGAATACGAAATATATATAAAAAAATGAACAATTCGGTCATAACTAAATTATGGTCATTACTATTACGGTCATTTATTTATTATGAAATTATACTAATAACTACATTGACGTTCATTTTATAAATGTATAATGGGTGAATTCTTTATATTTCATTTTAGGTTCGCATTTAAAGGGTTTTATCGGTACGAAATATGTTAGTACGAATGTGGATCTACTAACGTTCATATATTGTATTCTTATCAAAAGAAGAAATTAGCTGTTCAATTGCACTCCTAGCATACGTATACATACATAGCTAGCATACATACATAAGTGCTATAGTTTGACAGGAGAGTCTTTTTGAACTAGCAGCACAGTGCATCAGTAAGCACGGACAGGAGAAAAAAAAATATCTGCTCACCTTCGCACCCAGAGCCACAGCGCCTAGGGCGACAGCCGTCCCAATTTCTTGCCCGGAATATCCAACAGGCACGTCAAAGGATTTCATGTAGTCCTGTAGAACTGTCAAATTGCAGTCTTCGAATGGCACAGGATACGCCGAGATACAATGTAATAGACAGAACTGTTTGTGTTGTGCCGATATTATGTCATAGATCGTTTTCACAGCTGTCTTGTCCACCATTCCAGTAGATATGATCAATGGAACCTTTTTCGATGCGGCGTACTTTAAAAATAGCGAATTGTTCGAGTCCCCTGAGCTTATTTTGATAAACGGTACTTTAATGTTGACAAGAAAATCAAATGACACCTTAAAAGAAGCAAATTTTAGATTATTTAATGAAATTTTTCAACACGTACCACTAAATTTACTTCTACTGACAAATTGGCCGTTGACATTGACAAAACACTAGTTAAACTGTGTACGCCAGAGCCTAACTTTTTTTTGTATTATTGATATACATACAGTTAAAAAACGTATTAAATAGCCATACATACCATATCCATAGCGGAGGCCGAAAACAAAATACCGATCTCCTGAGCATATCTGAACAATTCTCTATACTGTGTTTCAGAAAATTCCAAGTGCCTCTTGTGTTCGCCATATGTTTTGCCCCAGGAATTGGCGCTGTCATAAGGCTTTTCTAAATATTTTGTTGTGAATTTTTCACTAAGACAGGTTTTTTGGAATTTAACACAGCTCGCACCAGACTCCTGAAAGTTGCAAAACAAAAGATTATTAGTCTTGTTGTTTTCAAACACAACTTGATAAGACCGGAAGACAGTTATTAAGCAATAAGTAACTGATAACATTAGTTATATTTGTAATCTTCAACTGTGTTTGTATGATAGGCAATTATTCAAAAGCGCATTGTGACAACAGGCAAGTGATAGTAGTCACAATAACAGAATTTAAAAATCTCGAGATCCAATAAGGTCGATTCTATAAATTATATTATTATAATTCAAGTATTATTTTTAATGGTAAAATATAACTTGTATTATTTAAAACTTTTTTTAAATATTAAAATTGAAATGATTGATAACTATTGCATCTACTTATTAGAAGAAAGTGGGTAATTTAAATAGGAGTTATAAGGTAGTGTAGACGCAAGGCAACGCGCTTTCTTTGTTTTGCTTCCCGCAACAACACAAAGCGTTGCTAGTCTTTTGTGACTGTACAGAACAAGAAAACGTCCAAGCAATAAAATGTTACTAACCTTGGCTGCTCTTATCAATTTTTTTGCAACTTCAATGTCACCTTGGTGATTCTGTCCAACTTCTGCTATAATGAAACACGGATTGTTGCCGCCAATTTTGATATCGTCGGTTATCTTCACTTCGACCATTTTCACAGCTGTTGAATATGTTCCATAAAAACAAATAACTCTATACCGGCTCTCCGCGCTGACTTGCCGTAATGGCACAGTCTGTAGGTATGTACGGTAGGTTTATCGACCTCCCTCTCTGGATCGGATTGTGTAAATAAGGTCAATTCAATATAAAAGCGAGCTGCCTGTTGCGCGGCCGCCAAACTAGTGCGCGCGCGCCTCGCCCCGGCACCCGCCTCGCATGATAATTGATAAAAAAAACTCGAATGCCCGATCAAGACTGCACTGTCATAAGGGCAACAATATATAATGAAATAATACACATAATTTTACTTATACACATAAGTTTTGTACGTAAACACTACAATTCTAAATACAAATACATTGTTGAAAGTCAGTCAGACTAGGCACGTTACGGTGAGCCAAGCTCCGACTACAATGTTTATGTGTTAGTAAGTTTCACTAAACACTCATGCATGTGTATGTCAGTTATGAGTAGACAGGCCGGGCCGGGTTATGTCGAAGGATCGTAGTGCAAAACGAGTTATGTTAAACATGTAGTGATTACATCAGAAGTGAATCTTGTATTCTACCAATACTTATTGTATTGCGGGCCAAATATTACTTAGGTACCTACAATCTTCTGTTACTTGAAATTAATAATAGATATAAGTATATAAATTGAATTAACGTTTTTGAATTACAATATTCTGTTACTTGAATATTTAAATTACGCTTTTGAATATTTATTTAATAGGGTAAGTATCGTTATATTGCTATAGGCTGATTAAAAGATCCTTATATCCTATATATCCATTAAAGTCGTTAAGAAATTACTTAGCAACATGAACAACAATCACTGTGGTTCACCACAGTCTATCAATACATAATTACGACGAATTTAATACATAAAGATAAAATTTTACAATAGCGACACGCTAAAAATAATTACTAATTTGTTATATGCAAACAAAGTACCATATTAATTAAAAAAACAATTACAATTTCAAAAACTGACTAGACCTATATAGTACAAATTATAATGTACAACAAAAGTTCATACCCGCCAAAAAATTCGTATCTATGGGGATCTTAAGAGATACTTCGACGCAGCGTACTTCCCGCACAAGCTGTTGCAACTCTACCGGCGTAAGTGAGCACTGATGGTCGGTTCCCTTCATGCTTCTATCTAAAGTTATATGCTTTTCAATCACCTGTAGGACGTTTTATGTAGATATAAAAAAACAACTAATAAAAACAACAACTTATTTACTAAAAACTTTCAAATACACCTGTCATACTAACAAATTCGCTTCACGCCGAACAAGAGCAAAACACTTTTTTAACGGGCAATGTGTTTTAAATGAACCTTACTGAATACTGTAATGTTTGGATGACAAAAAAAAGAAAAAACATCACCGACCTTGGCTCCTAATATCACAGCGGCTACCGCTATTTTCGTTCCAAGTTCATGACCAGAGTAACCAATGGGAACGTCGAAGCATTTTCTATAATCTTGCAACACCATCAAATTACAGTCGTCATACGGTGTAGGGTATGCGGATACGCAATGCATTAAACAAAACTGTTTATGATTAGCCGCTATTATTTCATAAATGGAGTTAACAGTCGACTTATCTATCATTCCCGTCGAGACTACAAGTGGTATATTCTTCGAAGCCGCGTACTTGATATAAACAAGATTGTTGGAATCACCAGAGCCTATTTTTATAAATGGCACATCCAGGCTTAATAGAAAGTTGAATGAAACCTGAAATTTGTTGTTCAAAATAAAAGCTTTGAATAAAAGATATTAGTAAAAATGATAAGTAGATATTTATTATCAGTTACATTGAAACTTACAAATTTACTATATGTAAATCAGTAAAATGAGAATTTAAAGTAGAGAAACAAAACATCATTCAACATTCATCGAGAGAGCCGAAAACCATTCCACCACTTTGAGAATTACCAACCCGGCATAAACGCGACCGTTCACAGACGTCGTCTGCGCAAAAAAAATCAACATGGTCAAGGAAGAGGACATAGGTACGTCGGACCCACCGGCGTTTCGTTGGACAACATTAAATTATACCCACATATAGAGTTAACACAGCTAACTGACGACACCCTTGTGACCGCCCGCGGCACAAACTTTCGCCGGGCTGCTTTCCGGCCTACATTCTCGCCACTGTGGGAGTAGCTCAGGTGGTGCGGCGTATTCGGCGACTAGGGCTAGAGGTGGCGTTAAGTAAATCCATCCATATGTTTCTTTGGACTGAGAAACATATGGCCTATTCAAAGCCATATGTTTCTATGGACCTCGGAACGCGCTACCTGCGGACACCCATATTATTGTGTGTGGCGTCCGTGTCGTCGTACAAACTACCATGAGGTATCTCGGCCTAGTCCTAGATCGCCGATGGGACTTCTGCGCCCACTTTGAGCGGCTGTCTCCCAAAGTGGTGAAAGCAGCAGCGGCTCTCGGCAGACTGCTCCCAAATGTTGGCGGCTCCAATGATACGTGTCGTCGCCTATACGCCGGAGTCGTGAGGTCAATGGCCCTGTATGGGTCTCCCGTGTGGGTCGACACCCTAAGTCGCCGGAGCAAAGCACTTTTGTGCAAACCGCAAAGGTTACCGCATACGAGCCATTCGGGGCTACCGGACCATATCCGGTGAGGCGGCGTGCCTATTGGCTGGCTCTTTGCCTTGGGACCTGGAAGCTGAAATTCTCGCGTCAGTTCAGGGCCACACGCCAGCCACAGACGAGTTGGGAACGCGCAGGAATGTCGTGCGCTCAAATGCCATCATTGAGTGGCAGCAAAGGCTGGAGCACCCCAGCGCCGGCCTAAGAACCGTGGAGGCCATACGTCCTGTTCTCAGTAGGTGGCTGGACAGGCAATACGGCGCCCTCGCCTACCGCGCGACGCAGGTCCTCTCGGGAAATGGTTGTTTCAGGAGGTAACTGTTTCGCGTGGCGAGGAGGGAGACCACAGCGGAATGCCACCACTGCGACGTATGTGCCAAGGAGACGTTATGTTACGCGCTATCGTGATGGCACGACCTCTCGCTGCCTGCTGTGGTTCGTGCTATGGTGGACAGCGAGAGGGCTTGGGGTGCAGTCCTTGCATTTTGTGAGCACATAATCACCCGGAAGGAGGCCGCGGAGAGAGAAAGGGAGGCAACTGCCACCCTGTAAATCCGCTGCCGGAGACCAGGGCGCAGGAGGCTGGCCTACGCGCGGAACCTTCCCCCCTGATAGCAAGCCCCGGGGCTGCAGATGTGGGGCTAACTGCTGCCCCGTGGACGAATCGAGAGGGGTGCCGTGTCCATTGCACCGATACGGCACCATATGGCTGAACTGGGTGTCCCTAACACCCGGGAGAGGAGGCCTGAGAAGGCCACAGTCGCGCCGGGGTTCGCGGAAGATTGCGTTATCGTGTTCCCGCGTCCCTAGCAAAAGCGACAACGCAGGTGCAACGTGGGTTTTTTAGTGGGTACCCCGTGTTCCTGGGGACTCCCACATACCCCCGCTGCCTACCCAAAAGACGGCGGGGGATCCATAAAGGATTTTTCCCACGTTAAAAAAAAAGCTAACCAATCGTTCTCGATAACAAGCACGAAGAAACCAACGCAACGCTCGCGTATACAAAGTAAATCCGCGATCGAGGGCGGATTTCATTGCCCCCAAACATTGATCATCGGCCATCTTATCCAACCTCAACTGACATCCTTCCCAGAGATAACGCACGCATGAGCATCTTTCGTTAAATTCCTTTTAATAGTCGTCGGAATGAAAGCATACAGTTTGATTAAGAAGTAAGAAAATAAAATAAGTAGAAGTAGATAATAATAAAATAATAAGAAGTAAGATAATAATAAAATAAAAAAATATCTTTGATTTTGAAACTCTGTACACTGTTCATTATAATAAATAGAATGACTTAAAAAACCATATAACCTTCTATCAAATAAATATTCATATTTTTATAATTACGGTACCATGTCCATAGCTGAGGCGGTAAAGAGAATGTCGTTGTCCTTTGAATACTTTAACAGTATTTTATATTGCTCTTCCGAAAACTCTAAATGTCTTTTATGTTCCCCATAGGTCATCCCCCATGAATTTGAACTGTCATAGGATCGTTCTAGGCAATTCTTTGTAAATTTCTCTTCTAGACAGCTTTTTTGAAACTTAACGCAATCAGCACCAGCTCTCTGTAAATTAAATTTAAACAGATTTAATCTTTTCTAAAAATAAAATTTGCTAAACATTGTAACATAGGTGCATCATTATTTCATTGTCTTTGTATTTATTTATAAAGAACGACTTTAGACGGAAAAGAAAATATTCGGTGCTGTAGTATATTTAAAAAAAAATGTATTGCACATAATAGTAAAACTCTAATGAAGGTTAAAGTTTAAAACTTTATTTCCTTATTTTTTTTTTACCTAAACAAAAGTGAATAGCTAGGCTTCCGGTAAAACTTACCTTAGCTGCTTTTATAAGTTTTTTCGCGATCTCAATATCGCCTTGGTGATTTTGTCCGATCTCGGCTATAATAAAACACGGATTGTTCCTACCAATTTGTTTCTTTTCCGTTATAAAAACTGAATTCATTTTCAAAGTTCTTCTTTCGTTATAATAAAAAAAAAATATCTCGACTATCTAACATGAGCAGGGCGACCTATCGACCTCTTGTCGTCAGTCAAATTAATTTTCGTTGTCCTACTCATGACGCGTAGCATATTTGGACCAATTTAATCAACAAGTTTATTTTTTGGTAAGGTGGTTCCGTAGCCGAATCTTTGAAATCGGTTATACGTATCATCATTTATAATTCATTAATTGTTTTGTTTGTTAAAAATAATATTTTCAATGCAATACATTTCCTACTCCCGAGGGTTTGCAGATCACCTGACGAAACGCGAAAGTATTATACTTCCACTTTACGCCAGTCTTCTATGAGGTCGTGGTACTTACCCGGACGAGCCTACCCATTCGTGCAACAGCTGAGGCTGCTGCGTGGACCTACCACCGTATATAAGTAATAAAATCGTAAGAGTGTATATCGTAAAATCTGACGATTCATAAGAACGCGCAAGCGTCTATTTGAATAAAGATATAAAGTAGTAAGTACAAAAAACTACTAAAGTACTACCAACGAAGTTTTTATATATCAGTCTTATAGTTTCTTCCATCCTAGAACAAACGCAGCACAAACGGCATGTTGTATAAACAATTAGTAAGAAAGTGGGACAGACATCGAGAGAGAATGCATGCATAAGATGGACCGAAGATGAAAGGCGATAAGGATATACTTAATACTGGCAAATACTAAAAGCAGATTCATCTTAATTCACGTCGTATTTGGAAATAGCCTCCCAAATGAGAAATAAAACGACAAAAATGGAGTGAAATTGAAAGTTAAAAAAAACCTTATGAATTAATTGAACGACAACCAATTACTCTTTGCGACCTGATATAATAATTACTACACAGGTGCAGCGGTGGACTAACCGGGGGACGGAAGGGATGGCCCGCCCCGGTCCTGGGGGCCCCCAAACGCCTACACGTTTCTTTGAACAAATCCTAAACAGTTCTTTATGCCTTGGGCCTATCTAAGAGATTGGAGTTGGCCCATACAAATATTATTTCTTTCAGATCAAATACGAACAACTAAATAATTATAGACGGATGTGGTAATTTATAAATAAAATTACTACTACTGCTAATCTGGGGCGTAACTATCGCCGCATCAATAATACGGGCTACAGAGGACCCCAAATGGATGAAAGCAAAAATTCCACAATCATACTAAATCTCTTAGGTCGTATCCGGAAAAAAAAATCGATCATACATGATAAAATAATGTCATAAACGTAACACAAGGTTGCGCAGTGATGGCATGGAATCAACAGTAAAATTACTTTCTGGTGAGATGTAGTACAATTAATATTAAATTTATTTGACAAAACCTCTTTATTTTTCTTCTTGGCCTCCTAACACATTTTGATACAGGTCCAGTCTAAGGCAAGCTACGCCACTGTTAATAATATTTCTAATGTCTATACAGTTTTAGTTCGTTTCAAATAAACTTTACACTTTGTATATTTTACTATCCACGGCCCTTTGCTAAAGGATATCTTTATTATAAAAGGAACACATGTTTTGTAGTTGGTACCTTTTTAAACAGTGAGAGGACTAAGTACATTCAGCAGCAACTTCGCAAACGAAACGAAAACTTCTCACGATATACGAGAGAAATTTTTAAATAAACTCAATGGATCTATTTTTATTTCTTCCACAAATCTATTTGTTTCTTCATTGCGTCGTTGTAAGAACCAACAGTTTTCCTCACCCAACCGTTTTCCTGCGCGTTCATAAGGCAGAAACTCTGCACAGTCTACATGTTCGTGGAAAGTGTGCTACACTGCGCGCTTACAAAAGTTACACACAGCCTTGCCGGTGTTTGGCTAAACGCGATACCAGCTTACAGAACAAAATGTTTGTAAACAAATGCGTTGCACATTGTTACGGTGGAATCTTACCTTATTAATTGCATTAAGAAAGTAAAGTCAAACTTACATTTAAAAAGACCAGAAGTGGCACATCAGTAACAGAAAACTGTTTCAAATAACTACAGACTTTTTTCGTACTAATACAAATCTTATTCTTTTTATTTGAATATGCTTCTTTCACAGTATTATTAAAAAAGTAAAACTACAGTACAAAAAGGAATGCTTTAATACAGAATTTACATAAATATTCATATGAATACACTGTTCCTTAGTAAATTCGTCGAGACTTGATGAGTGTTCTTTAGTGAGTGATTGTGCAAGAAGCTATCTTTGCAATATCGGAGTTCTCCTTAAATCTATCGCTTATAGCACGATTCACTCTTGACTCGGGCATTTTTCCGAGAAAATTAGATATATAGCGGCCAGCTTCAATTAATTTCACTAGATTTATGTCAGTATTAACGCCCAGACCATATAGAAAATAGAGCAAATCTTCCGTGGCAAGGTTTCCAGAAGCTCCACGGGCATAGGGACACCCACCGAGACCAGATATAGATGAATCTACTGTTTTGATACCAAACTGTAATGCGAAATTCATATATTAAGTCGAAACATTTTGTTAAGCTGCATAATACCATAATCGAACAAAAAGGCTGGAACACAAGATTATTGCCATATAACATACTAACGACCCGCCCCGATTTTGCACGGGTGCAATGTGCATATAAACCTTCCTCTCAAATCACTATTCATAGCTGAAAAATGCATTAAAATCCGTTACGTAGTTCATAAGATCTAATCATAATATAAATATATGTTGTAAAGATATAATTTATTTACATTAGAAAAGTTTCAGCATGTTGTATCAAGCTATGCTATCAATTGTAAAACGTAATCGGCTGGACCGATTTGAGTGATTTTTTTGTATGCGTTTAGGTGGCGCCCTGGATGGTTTAGATTCACAGTTCGTTTTTTTTTACTTATAAGTTGTTATCGGATTTAAGTCGCGTGTACAGGACAACGTCTGCATGATCCGCGAGTGTTTATATATATAATTCTACTGTACGTGTATGTCACTGAACTCCTCCTAAACGGCTGGACCCATTTTAATGTTATTATTTGTGTGTATAAGTGAATCTAAACCATTCTTCAATGGAACTGATCCATTGGAGAATGGTTTAGATTAATTTTTTTTTAAAAAATTTTTTAAGTTATTGGATTTTCAAGTCGTGTATACAGGACAATGTCTGCCCGTTCGGCTAGTACTACATAAATTTATAGTTAAGAAATTAATTTAGTAATAAAAGCCACTGGAAAGAATAACAATGCCCAGTAGAGAAATTATCACATAAATGGTGGACTCACCACATCTAAAGTTAATTAATCTGTCGGCAAAGTTGAAAGTGGATGACATTTTTTTCAGTTTGCCATTACATTCAAACATAATAAATATAATGAGTTAAGTAACAAGAATATTATTTAAATTAATTTCTTTTCTTTTTTGAATATTATCAATTCAATACATTTAAGTTCTCAATTAAGGGCATAAGTGTTTTTGCTCTCTATGCAAAATTTTATTACAATAAATCATTCTTGCTTCTTATGTGAAAAGTTGGCAAGTGCCCAAGTGGTTCACCTGATGTTAAGTGATAAACACTGCCCATGAACATCTCCAATATCAGGGGTTACAGATGTGTTATTAACTAATAAGAAAGTGTGTCCCAGTTACTTCACTCACCAGACAAAATATGAAAGAATAACCTTTTTTTATGGGGAAAAGTGGCAAACGAGCAGGAGGCTCACCTGATGGTAAGTGATTACTCCTATGAACACCTGCAACACCCGAGGGCTCACAAATGCATTGCCAGCCTTTTAAGAAAGAGTAACTCACACCAGCCTTCTTTACGGCCATAGTGCTTTCCTGAACATAGCAGCTCATTTGTACAGCAGCAGAAGCTGCCAGGTGGCCCTACCAAAGTATACAAATATCTAAATATATATATACATACCTCTAGACCGGCAAGTAAGTTGGAAAGACCTTGACCATAAGTATCATGAAAATGTAAAGCAAAATTTTCTGGTTTAGCTACTCGTAGTACTTCATGGAGAAGTCGCCGAACTGATCCTGCAGTGCCGACTCCTATTGTATCCCCCAAAGATACTTCATAACAACCCATTGCAAAGAGCTCTTCGGTTATCTAATTTATTTAATAAGAAAAAATCATAAGCGCTTCCAAAGTTAGGTTGTAATATCTATTTTATTTTAGAATATTATAGTAATAGTTCAAATTTATTACTATTATTTTACTTTGTTCATATTACCTTTGCAATAGCTTTAGGGTGAATAGGACCGTCATATGGACACCCTACCACACAAGATATATATCCTCTCACTCTTAAACCATCTTTAACAGCTTGAATGGCAACTTCTTTAAATCTCTCTAATCCTTCTTGAACAGAACAGTTTAAATTTTTCCTTGAAAACCCTTCTGAGCCAGCTGGAAATATTGCAATCTCGTCAATATTGCACTTTATCTATAAAACACATGAGTATAATTTAATATAAACTTATCTTTTAATTATGCCAACAAAATAGGATAGTTAAAAATTGACTCTGTACACTAACAGCTGCTTCATAACCCTTTAAATTGGGAATTAGAACCGGATAATTTACACCCGGAGTTCTTTTAAGCTTTTTCATAACATCAGCTCCATCACTCATTTGTTTCACCCATTTAGGACTCACAAAACTGTAACAGTTAAATTGAATATAAAGATACCTATTTTAAATAATTAATTTAATTAATAAGTAACTGAAACTTAATGAGTGACCTTGCAGATTCGATATTTTTGATTCCAGCTGCAGCAAGTTTATGTATAAGCTCAACTTTTATATCTGTAGGGACAAATTTTGATTCATTTTGTAAACCATCTCTAGGTCCTACTTCATAAATCCTTACATCTGGTATAGTACTCTGAAAGGAACAAATTAAAAGTTTTGTTGTCACAAAATGTTTATCTTTTGTTTATTTCATTGGCCCGCATACATTAAAATACCTAAGTAGTATCTCATCGTTCGACTTACAAAGAGATGAAACCAGAATCACTTACACACCAACATCTACAACTTAATTATATGCGAGAGATTTCAGATCTGAGATTTAATGTTCTAAAATTTAGTAAGTACATATATTTCAAATATAATTAAAATTGTAATTTCCTTTTTCTAAAGATTTCATGAATGATTTTTTGCATAAATTGCACGAAAATCACAAAGTAAGAAATAATTGTAATGTAGGTAAGTACTTACTAGCGTTCGAATTATAGAGGATAAATTTTTCAATTCTAAGTAAGTTACTCTTCGGAATAAATTCATAGTAAAACTAGGAAAGGCGGCCCCCCAATTATCTAAAGAACCTTTGCTAGATAGGTACCCAACCTGTCCTTATAACACGCTAGTAGGTATAACTAAATATGCATTAGGCAAATATAATGTTCTTTTTGTTCAAGTTTAAACATTAGTACTGACATGTCTTATCAGTACAAACTTGTTTTATTTTGTACAAAAACTCTCGTAAGAGATAACGATAGTAGGTAGGTAGTACATTAGGTATAATAATATATACTTCTTTGATTGTTATTTGCTTGTTTAGTGTGTTGTGTACGTGTAGATGCTACATAAGCCCTACGCGGACGGCTCAAAAAATGTCTACTAAAATAAGTAGACTCACGTTTCACTTATGCCAGTGCTATTTAAATTTGGAATCATTTACTTCATAACTTGCTCTGGAAAAATAATTAATTATGCCGATTTATTATATGATATATGTTAATAACGAGTTTAAGAGAAAATACTATTTAGTGCATATATCATATATTTTGTGTAGGTAAATTATCATTTACTGATCAAATAAATAATGTAATTTTTAAAATAATAGTGTATTGTGGCCCCACTTTAATATTTTTTTTATTCTGTTTTTTTAGTATTTGTTTTTTAAGTTTGTTCGTACAGATACAGTCTGTTATCTCGAGATACATGTTATATTTACCTATTTCGATACACATGCCTCACTCCTATTATATCCATATTCTCTTTTTGCGTTTAATGAGTGTAGTTGTATCTTCCGTGCATGATGAAGAGAAAATACGAGCGTTCGTACCGACCTGCGTGGGAACAAGATCCCTTACTTTCTTCCTGGATTTCCAGAGCTTAGGAGGATCCTGATGTTGCATTTTGCAAAGCTTGCAATTGTAAACTAGACACAACCACATCAACGCTTGCAGTAGTCAGATTTTCAAGTCAAATAAAATTTTTAACTTACTTTTTAAATATTTCAAACTTTGCAAAAGCTCTTTTAAGTTTGCCTATGTTGACTCGGTTTGAATCGGGAAAATAGAGGGTAAAAGACCTAAAAGCCGTAATCCTAAAAGGTGGGCGGATCAAATTTCTGAAAACCTAGTGATCACTATATGAAATGTCTAATGCCTTATGCGAAAGAATGTCTATTTATTATTTCTACTGTACTGTCTCCAACGATACAATAATACAATGGCATATTTTTGCTATTTTTTTGGAGTTCAGTTTGGCAGATTTTAGGCTAGTGTCGGCCGTCGGGCAGATTCGCCTTTGTGAGATGGTCACCCAGCACCCTGGTGTCAGTGATAGGCTTATGTCAATGCTTTTTTGATTGCCGGCAAACGGCAAATAATTACTTTTCATTTAACGATACTTATACCTACAAGAAAATATTGGTTGTTCTGTAGTTATGGGTACATTTTATTAACAATAATTGCTAATAATACTTAAAATACTTTCATTTACCTATTATATTTTATTATTTCAGCTGTTAACAGTGCCACGTCCTTCGTTTTATCCAGCATCCTTACTCTTCTGATATTTTCTGGGATGCAAATGTATAAACCACTGTTAACTAAATCGCCGCTTACAATTATATTTGGAGGCTACCTAGGGTCTTTGATGTTTATGTTTATTGTGACAGTATCCTTTATAAAAAGTTAATATATGGTAAATTTTAATGTAGACTAGTTTATTTTAAACATTGTGTCTACATCTCGATTTAACGATTGGAACAGCGCATTATTTAATCTTTTAGAATAGTTATATTGGTAACACAACTGAATTATTGCATATGTTCTATGATATAATAATATAATCCTTATAAGATTATTCAGGCTGTTGGAAACTTGGAATCATCACTATTTGGTAAGAATTTTCAGGTAAAACTACCAGAAATTGTATTTTCTATGACCCTTTCACTTATTGCTGCCGGCATGGTGCACAGAATTTGTTTTACTACTTGGTAAGTTCATTTAAAAATATTGATAGTTTGGTTAATAAATGGTTGTTTCTGTTCTAATAAACTAAATTAAACCTTGCCAAGTCATTTTATAAGAGAAATATATTAAAAAGTCAACATTTTTTTTAAAGTAACAGTACTTTTACAATACTTTTGATCAAATTTATTTTATGAATATTTTAATATAATTTAATATAAAATGTTAATAATTTTAGACAGGATGACAGGATATCTTTTATTGAAATTCAAATGTTTTTATTATAAAAATTCTACTCACTTAATATTTGTTCTTTTTCAGTTTGATATTTTCTCTGTTAACAATCTACTACATGAACAAGATCTCACAAAAGACTTATATTGCTGCAGTTCCAGCTAATGCCCCCGTAAAATCTCGCAGACATAAATGAATGCAGCAGTTATTGTTAAGGCTTATATTTTAATAAATTTTTTTTTTTATAAATGAAAGTGCTTTTTTAATTTATTGGAAGTCACTTAATCAGTAGATTTTCATGTTGCATTTGATTAACAGACTTCATCAGATGACACACACCTTACACAATATCTACAAAGAATTTTGTTTTTTTATTAGAGCTTTAGCTTCCATTCTATTATTTAAAAATAGTTTGCACTTTGTAGCTTAACTACAGAAAATAACCCCCAGCAATCATTCAGTTTGTTTTTACTTAAGTAAATAATAAAGTGATCGAACAAACATGAAAATTTAATTTTTTTTATTCAAAAGTTGCTTGAATCGCAATATAAATTAAACCGACTTGAAGGAAATGTTAAATTCGCAATCAGCATGGTATGGAAATGTGGCATAGTGACGGTTTAAGAATGGTAAATGAGCTTTGTGATTTCTTTATGAAAATTGATCCATCTATGGAACAATCTTATTTTTATTAAGAGGCAAATTGCTAATGCCACAGTTGAATATCAGTCCAATTTGAAGGAGGAAGGCAAAAAGAATTACAATATTCTTTAAACCATTGCCTGAGCCCGAAGATAATTATTAATCAATATGGTCCATAACTTCTTTTTCATTTTTTTTAATATACTTGCATTTTCATTGTCACTTAGGAATGTAACCCCTATAAGCCCACATATATTACCATTCCATTTTCACGCTTTCTGTATTCGCGGCATATTTACAGAACATATCATGAGCTTTTCAGATATGGCAGTATATGGATACCAGCAACCAATTTGTAGAAATACAATCTAATTAATTTTTAACAGCTAATATTTTCATAGGAGTCTTAAGAATATGCTTGCATAATAGCTAGTTTTTATAGTTAGTTAAATGATACAATAGTAATCCTTTTTAAATTCATTTAATCAATGGTAAATCTTAAACATACTTTACTCTTAACATTTAGATAGTAGTATTACTAAATTTCTTTGAAGAGTTAGTAGTTTCAGCATAAATGTTCAACAATATTAAACTATATATTAAACAATAGGAATTCAGAAAATAGATATGAAAATAAAATAACGACTAAATAACTAAAATTAGTTTTTTTTTTTAGAAAATTTAGTTATGCAAAACATTAATTATAACCTTAATTTATTTTAACCATATCTTATAATTCTTAATAAGACTTAGTGTTTACTGAAATAAAATAAACAATTTTGGAACAACAACGGATCTAAATAACAACCATTACTTTTGTTCACTTGTTTAGGATATCTTAAAGTAAATTTTAATTTAGCACTTATTATTTTACTTGATCATTGAATATATTTACACCAAATTGAAAGTCTTTATGGAATACATATGTCTTTAGATATTTAGTTTTTCTTATAAACTAATTAATATTGCACACGGAATTTTTAAAGTTTTTTTGAGTTGTTAATTAAAGCATATGAGCTACCAGATTAAAAAGAAATTTAAATATACAAAACATTACTTATACACTTTATGTAAAAATATGTTTTTAGTACACATTTGTATATGTATGGGTTCAACACACATTATTTTATTCAGATATGTATTATGTCTAAAGTCTTTCTTGTAGGAATGTATTTTTAGTACATTTATAACATTTTAACATAGATTGTTATCAACAAAAAGGATACAAATTTTTCCTTTTTTATAGATATCTTTTACATCACTTGTATATTGTAAGCTTATCTCATCCACAATAATGAGTTCTTTTTTTAAGAATTCAAAACATGCTGGTTGCAATAATAGAGTAAGATATTTTATGGCATTATGCTAATGTAATTTCCCTACCCTTATCAGATTTTATTATTAAACTTTTTAGAACTTGTTGGATGCAAGAAGATGTGAATCATACAATTTTGGCACTGAGGTATATTAAATTTAAGATATGTTATTGAATTATTATAATGAGTTTGATTGAATTTTATAATGAGAATTTAATGAAATAAAGCTTTACAATTTTCAAAGTATAATTAAATTTTAGGTAAGTGTATGTTAAGTAAAATTTTGCAGTATCACAGATTTATTCAAGTTTAAGGCACTAAAGTGTTGAATAATGAAATTGCTCTCCAGGGTTTTACTCAATTGACTATAAAGTGTTGGATAAGATTAGATATAAACTAGAATATTTTAACAAATTTAACACTTGAAATCTCATTACAATACTAAATTCACAAGTACTTACCTTATTATAATTATTATATATAAGTGCCACAGTACTGTCACATATTTAAGTTTAATGTTTCCATTTTAATAAATCGTAAAGTGAAAGTGTAACACACTATGACACAGTTACTACAAAACAAACTCAAATAAAAGAGTTATTTCAGTTTTAATGAGTAAAGAATTTTGAGTGACTATTGAAACCAAATGGTTTTCAATGGTTTTCATAAGCTGGAGTCTATTTGTTTCGTATGTGCATGCTGTTATTTCTAACATATGGATTTTGTAAAATTCTGGGTGTTGTCTCCATAACACGCAACAGCAACTCATCTAAATAGTTTTCTAAATCTTTATTCTTCTTTTTCTCTACTTCTGCATCCTTTTGAAGATTATAAATAATTATGATCAAATCTTCCCTTGTCTTTCCCTCAAATTGCTGCAAAACAGTTTTTGGTATGTTATTATAAGCAGGGTTAATAGAATCTTCTTCTACTATATTCTCTTCCCCAACTATAATGCGTTCCTCCAATAACTTTTTTGGTTTGTTGTTATTACCAAACTTTTTGAAAAATTTGGGGCTTGGTTTTTCTTTCAAGGAACTTGGACTATCAAGTTTTTTATTTCTTTCTAGACTTGATGACTTTTCTCTATCAATAGTGGTTTGACTGTTTGATTTAGGGCGGGAGTATAATTTTTGGGACCATTCATCATTTTTATCTATTACCTGTGTAGGTAGTTGCGGAGGAGTAAATGTATCTAAACTTAAGCGGACAGGTTTTTGAGGGGCCAATTTGTCTGTATTAGCTAAATTGCTGCTTGTAGATCTCCTTAAAAATTCCCCTCCCCCAAGATTTTCTAGTGATGCATTAATTGGTGATGGAGTATATTTGTGGCCACGAGGTAGTGTATGTACATTAAGTGAACTTCCTGAGCTCTTATGAGAAAGATCATCAAAAGCAAATTCATCTTCATCCTCACTAATAACTCCTGGATCTGCTTCTCCTGCTAATCTTTTTGGAGTGGAATGGTCAGGTGTTGTTAGAGTTGGTATTTTCAGATTTCCAACACTGCCACTGAGTGATGAGGAATCACTTTTTTTATCTTTTTTAGTTAGATTCATTTTTGAACCAAGGTTCTTAGCAAATTTCTTAATACCTTTACGTTTTTCAATACTTCCAATACTCATAAGGCTTCCGCCGACATTCTGAGCTAAGCTAGATAGTGACGATTTATGCTTTTCTTTTTTACTCAGATCTGTTAGGCTTCCTTCTTTTACGGTAAAACCAATTTTTACTTCAAGTTCACCGCGTTTCTTATCATTTTCTTTAACTGTTTTCCCTTGTAATGTGTACCAGCGATTTCTTGGACGTTCATAAACATCTAGGTCTTTTAACGGAATCGATACTTGACCTAATAAATGATCTTTTACAAAATCCTCATCATACACTTTTAAAACAATTTCAGCGGTGTTTCCATGGGAAGGAATACGTAGTTCACATTCTTCCAACCACTCAACATTCTCTGTGGCTTTGTGTTTCACGGAAGTTTGAAATTTTTCTTTTCCGAGGGCAATGGTAACAAAACAGTTATTTGTTCCGTTTTTACCTTTGATTAGTAGTCCCCGAGCTCTTTGGACCGTAACTTGTACATGTGTTGGATCCCACATTTTGGAAAGACTAAACTATGATATTAAAAATAGAGATTGTCTTGTTGGAATATGAAAAAATAAACTTATAAAACACAAATCACAAACGATGAGCTGTCGTAACCCGTCACCATTTATGTTTGTGGAATGCCGTTCCGTTCCGTCATTCATTTCATAATTCATCTTGACAATTAGCTTTTTATATTAGAAGTTGCCATAGTTAAAAACTACAATTCTGCCAAGAGTACTTTTCTGAAGTAAATTCTGATTCTGAAGACTAATATTGTCTGAGTCATCAGGCTGGCTTGACATGTGACTATTGATTAACGCTGTGCCTTTTTTATCAAAGATAATCGATAAGTATTATCTAGCTATAAATAACTTAATCTAGTTTGTTGTTCGTCATGAATTTAAATGTCATTTTTACATTTTCAAAATAAAGAACAATTATAGGAACCATTAATATGACAATTAAATAAAAATACAAAAATACTTAAAATACTATACTTAATTAAATCAATCTTACATAAAAGAAATTAAATTAGCATTATGATTTATCGTTATTGTTTCTCTTCTATAATTATATTTTTTTTATGTTCAATACCTTAAATCAATTTATTTCATGTATTACTGAAAATTTTAATCTCTTTACCAATTTTAATACACCACCAATACTCATTTAATTACTTCAATATTTATAAAATTCCATATGTACATCTTCTTCTAATATATAAAATTCTCGTGTCACGGGGTTCGAACTTGAACTCCTCCGAAACGGCTCGACCGATTTTTACCAAATTTTATATGCGTATTCAGTAGGTCTGAGAATCGGCTACTATCTATTTTTCGTCCCCCTAAATGTTAAGGGGGTAGTCCACCCCTAAATTTATTTTTTATTTTTTATATAAAACTTTTGTTTCTATTTTTTTATGACACAGCATAAAAAAATTCATACAACTCTAAATTTTCACCCCTCTACGCAGACGTAGTCGCGGGCAGCAGCTAGTCTAATATATAAAACTGTCACGGGGTTCGAACTTGAACTCCTCCGAAACGGCTTTCCTGATTTTTACCAAATTTTATATGCATATTCAGTAGGTCTGAGAATCGGCTACTATCGGATAAGGGTTGTTCAAAATTAACATTTTTTT